CAACTGGTATTTCTACACTCCTGATTATTTATATCAGATATGACAGAACAAATCATGTTGGATAAATAGTGTCAGGAGGTGATAGCCAATCATCAAGATGTATTCTGGCTGTTTTGGTTTTAATTTAACTGGCTTTTATCTATTCATTGTTCTGATAATCCTATGATGAAACACAGGAATAAGATAACTGGTAGCAATTTACCAGTACAATAATCTTTCTCAGCAGTAAGAATATTGGCAGAATTTCTCAGACTGCTGGCTCATTTCAGTGTCAGGTAAACCTGAGTACTGTGGGCTGTATGAAGCTCATAACCATATTTCCCCACTGCGAAAGTTCACAGCATCTACTTTAACACTACAGTTCTGTTGCAACATTTTAACAATGAGATTTCACAACAATATGGTCCTTTATGACAAATTACACCAAATGTACAAGAGCATCAGGGAAAAAGGGAATGGAAAGTTCTATTTTTTGTGTATGATAGGAAAGGGAAGAAATTGGATAAGAAGAGCTGGAAAGGCAGCTTGCATGTGAAATACCCCAATTTTTAATAGGCCTACTGACAGAGATAGTCTTGCTCATGGAAAAGTGTAGTGAATGTGCAGCCACAAATTTTGTACTGTCATATATTGTTTTTCTAGAGTATTCAAACTATCATTTTAAAAGTTTGGCATAAAAGCCAACAATTGGTTTGTTGGATGTCCTTGCAGGGAATATTCTATTTTTCAGATACAGTAAACAATAATACTTTTTATTTTGTCATACTGAATGTTTGACTTAATGTTTTTTCTAGGTATAATATTGTGCAAACAACCCTAAAAATTGAGACTACCACTGGACTTTTCCTGAATTAGCAATAATTAGAAGAAATTAAAATCAGTATTAATTTTCCAAGGTGGTCTTTTGATAGAAATATCTGAATAATCTAAACAAAACAGCAAATACTGAAGGGTTTAGTGTCTCAAGGATATTTAACTTTATATTTTTGCTTCCAGTTGGATATTTTTATTTGCATGTTATTTTTTTCTGTATCATGTGTTAAATAGGAAATTGAATTCTGATACCCAAGACAGTGAGTGGTTATGTTCTCTACAATCAGCTTGTCTAACACTTTAGCCCAAATAAAAATTTGATTAGATTTGAGTTTAAAACAGATTGATAAAAAATCTTAACTCCTCTATTGACATAAGTGGTCCCACAGAGTGTCAAAAGTAAGATTTTAAAAAAGCAATATATTTCTGTAAGGGACTTCATGTCCTCTGACACATGCACTGGCTGAGAAATTCCTATATGTACTGCTGTGTATTCAGATGCACTGTCTTTACCAAAGCTGTTATTTCTGACATATAAGTTGCAGAGGTATTTTGTCATTTACAGATACAGAAATACAGTTCAGAGAGTATTTGTAGAGTATGAGGCTCTTGAAGAAGCAGGCAATTCACCTTGGAATAGCGCTATTGACAAGTGAAAAAGTCTTTCCACATTTGGAGAATGATGGCGCAAGAACTGTAAAAGTATGCTAGATTTAGAGACACTTAATCTACATTTATGATATTTACGTTAAAAGAGTAAATGGACAAAATCTTTAAGTTTCATGTGATTGAGCTAGACCAGTCTGAGGTGGAGGAGAGGAAGAGACAGTAACTAACTAATTTATTCTTCTGTTATTGCAACATTAATTGAATTTTATGTTATATACAGAAGTTCTAGGCAAACTTTATTTATTTATTAATTTATTAGTAGTATTTAATTTCTTTATAAACATACACCTACACAAACTTTTGTAATGAAAATCAATGTATTTTAACATGTGGATGCTATGATATACACACACTACATATTTAGCAATATAACAGAAGTAATTTCAAAACTATGTTATTCAAATTAATGGCAAAGGCTAGTAAACCATTTTACACAATGGATAGTTTAGGCTTAAAATAAACAAAACCCAACAATTCTTTTTTTTTCCCCTAAATGCCAAATCTCAATATACCTTTTGAATTAATTTCTGTCTTCAGAAAAATTGGTTTTATAATAAAGTCTTTCTATAAGAGCCCCAATAATTTTTTATGTTAATAAGTAATATCAAGATCATTTCACTTAATGATTAATTTCATATCTTCATATCAGATGATATTTAATGATAGTATTCTAATGTAGTAGTACAGTGAATTTCAGCCCGTGATCTGTGGGGCCTCATGGACTTCTGCCACAGAGTCTGTAAATGTAATCAAAAAAAAGCAAGCTTATTCTCAATAGAGATAGACTTTTATAGAACTGTAGCTCACTTTGGATAACTTGTAGCTGTCTACAAAGGAAAGGAGGTGGAAAACCTCTATGTTAGTGGATACTTAAAGGTATAAGTGACTTAAAATAATGATGTGAAATATTAATAACCTAAAGGAAAAACAGATCTATTGTGCTACTCAGTCCCATTTCAAAGCAAGAATAGGAAAAGTGCAGACAGGCTATGGTAGACTTCTATCAAACATTTAAAGCTTGTGGCAGAATCTCTTTAACTCTTCACATCAGTGAGGTTTCAAGAGTCCTCAGGGATCATTACTGCAGTTGAGGAGAAATGGAATAGTGTATCCGGCATGCATACTGTGCAAACAGATTGGAAAAAGATAAACATACTAAACTTGTTTTTGTACCATTCAGGAAGCCCTTATTCTGATGAATGAGGAGATCTAGTGCCTTTTATAGACACATCATGCTACAGAAGCAGCACCACAAAAAGGAGAGAAGAGAAGAAATAAGATTCTCTGGCATTGCATCATATATATTTACTCATTTGTGCAAAACTGAATGCTATGTAGAACACATGAAATGATAGCAAGTCAGGACGATAATTTTATCCCAGTCTTGACACCTTCTGCAGTTAAGATGGCTAAATAGCAGACTAGAAGAGCTTGTTTGTCTAAAAGTTTATTTCATTTCACCCCAATTTGTCTGTTGGTCTTACAAAAGATACTACCTCTCCCTGACAACCTTTTCTTCTTTATGTGGTAGAAGGTAGTGGAGAATCGGTCTCTCGTGTAGCTTTCTAACTATATATCAGTCTTACGGAAAGTTTATTTCACCACATACAAATAGATTCTTTAATCACGGAAACTTCATCTGTCAATCACATGCCACTACCAATAATAACCAAATGCTGCACCTACTAAAGGATGGGAAAGTATCTAAAAGCAGGTGGCAGAGAAATAGTGTTACGCTGGCTCATGCTGTCAAATCAGCTTTAAAATATCATCACATTATCTATCACACAACTTATATTTTCAGGGTTTAAAATAAATGTCTTTGTATGTTTAATAAGGAGATTAAAATAATGAAATATAGCTATTTCTTGTGAACCTCAGCTCATCTGAATGACCTAATCATCTTGGCTCTTTTTATAGTTAATGAAGAGAAATAGACCTTTTTAGAATTGCATAGTTCATCCAATCTATTTTAGGTATCTACTTTAGGATGACATTAATCATACCTCATATGTTACTATTAACTCTAAAAGACAGGCAACTGGTTTAGGTATGGCTGTTTATATGATCAATGCTGAGAGCTAGTTAAAATGAATGCTACACTTTTTGTCTGGAAACTGAGAGTGTTTGCTTGTTTCTTTTTTGTCAACAAAGGCATTTTGTGTTTTCAGAGGAGTCAGTTGTTGGACAACTTTAGCATCTGTACAGGAAGAAAAGCAAGGTATTCGACTCCTTGCCATTTTTTCAGATAAGGTTGATAACAGCGCCAGGAGAAAGGCAATGAGAAAAACATGATACCAATTCTAGTTTGTCCATTTGTAAAATAATGAAAGGTTGTCTATGGTTATGTTATTTACCATAATGATGCCTGATTTTCTCCTAATTAGTGAAGGACCTCATAGAATCATAGAATGGTTTGGGTTGGAAGGGACCTTAAAGATTGTCTAGTTCCAACCCCCCTGCCATGGGCAGGGACACCTTCCACTAGACCAGGTTGCTCAAAGCCCCATCCAACCTGGCCTTGAACACTTCCAGGGATGGGGCATCCACAACCTCTCTGGTGAACCTTATTAGAGAATGAGCTGAAAACAGCAAACTGAAGGGAAGACCAGCAGCCTGATTCAGAACCGCTTAATGAAGCTGTACAGTAAAACAAAGACAGCAAAATGGAAATCATTTGTAGAGTCAGAATTACTTCCTTGGGCTGGGGACATGGCAGTAATAAAGGAAGAATCCACAAAGAATAATCTGGAATTGAGAAAGATGAATCTGGAACCACTCTTTATATTTCTCCAAGAACTGCACCTTGAGGCAAAAGGAGAGATTTAGAATGCATCTTTACATTTTAGCTATGCTATATGGAGAAAATGCAGAGGAAAGGGTAAAATATGGAAAGAGTTGTAGCTGCTCAGAGTAGAACTGCTCATTCAAAGGAGCACAGAAGGAGCTGTTTATCCCATTCAGCATGTTAATAGGCCAAAAAGGGGAATGCTAATTAAAAATGAGTGTAAGTATATTTCTTCATTTCAGCAGAGAAGAAACTGAAGCCATGCTATCTTGACACTAGGATGGATGAAATAACCTTTATATTTTCTTCCTGAGTTACCACTATGGTCTGCTGACTTTGTTATAGAGATTAGATGAGGAAGTGAAGCTCACACTTCGTGCCAAATACAGGGGCAAATACTTCCATTCCTCTGAATAAAAAAGAATGAAAGAATAGAAGTGGTATAACTAATAAATTGCTTACTAATCTCTTCTAGGATAGTGTAGATAATATGCTTTGTTCAATAAACTAATGCCATAATCAAATATCAAATGAATAATTAGTTCTTGGTGTTTCAGTTTCTGATCTACCCAAATTATATATAATTTATCTTTGGTCACTGTGGATACATTTAATTTAATTGAATCATGAGAATATAATTTGCATCAAGATCAGATTCATTGGCATTATATTTTGTTTGATATCATATCTCTGTGTCTTTTTTTTCTTCTTTTCCCATTTCTGTTTGCAGGTTTTGACCTAGTGAAGTGTGAAGATCCTGGCATACCAAATTATGGCTACAAGATCCGAGATGAAGGACATTTTATAGACACTGTCATTTTATACAGCTGTAATCCTGGCTATACAATGCATGGTAGTAGTATTATGACCTGCTTAAGTGGAGATCGAAGAGTTTGGGACAAACCTTTGCCTGCTTGCATAGGTAATACGGATTGTGACAATGAAAGAATTAAGTCTGGTGTTTCAAGAAAAAAACAAATATTCTGTCTTTCTGTACTTTGTGATATGATAATAGTGTAAACACATTTTAAATTTCAAGTAAAGATTTTATGTGGACATCCACATATAACTTCTCTGAAGTAGATGGCTGGCTATTAATGGCTACAAAACTGCTGGGAAACACTTTTTTCTGTAGGGCAGCCTTTGATGAAAGACTAGGTCTTTGGTTCTGATGATATCCTGGGTCATCAAGTCTGAAATGCTGTCACAGGCAGTATTATCTAAACACTTCAGAAGCTAAGCAAGCCTGATCATAAAGCAAATAAAGATTTTTTTCACCTTACCTGTTTTCATCAGAAATTATTTCAGCATCTCATTCCTATGAAGCTAATTTCTAATTTTCATCCTACATTGGTGGATTGTTTTATCTGCATGCTCTTGAGTCACTGTTGCCATGCTAGGATACCCCATCTCTCAGACGCTTGAGGTAGACCTTTTCTTTAAATGTCATGTGTTCAAGTGTCTAAAACTGTGTTTCATTACAACCAACATAAATGCTAAATAGAGACATACTAGGTGAGATGCATAAAAGAACTGAACACCAGTATAGCTATTGCCCATTGTACCTTTGCTAGGCAGTTTCTCTCCTCCAGTTTTGCTTCCTAGTCCAGCAATTACCAGTGACTTCCTGAGTTCAAGTTTCACATGGACTTCCCATGAGCCCTTGCAAAAGTCTTTCTTTCTAGGTGTCTTCTGTTGCTTAGTGTTTGCCTCTGCTGCCTGCTACAGGCAGGCCCCCAGCTGCTTTCAGCACTCACCTGACCTGCAGGATCCTTGCTTGTTGCTTCTCTCCCATATTGGGTGCTACATTCTCCATTCCAGGAGCTGCTTCATGCTGAACACATTCACAGACCTGCAGTCTACAAAGGAGCAAGCTCTCTTCCTTTCAAAAGTTCAGCTTACCCAGAGGGTAAGTGCCAGAAAAACATCAGTGAACAGCATTTCTGCTGTCTTAGTAGAGGTGTTATTTTTCTCACTTGATTCTAGAATTGTATCTGTAAGTTTTCTTATATATATATATGACAGGTCAAAACAACTCTTTCCAGTTTTGATTTAAAGACTTTTCCAGCCTCTTTATATATGCAAGTCCTCGAGCTCTTCAGTTAAATTGGCTAGCTTCCTTTTCCTTTAAGTTTGTCCTTTAGTAGAGAAGAGCCATAATTAGTCCTACCTTTGCCTATCTCCCCATTTAATTTAAATGAAGTCATTACTCTAAGGTCATTTTCTGTAATATTTTCTTGTGCCTGTGTTCACTACCAAGTAAGTATTTGAATCAATTCTAAAATACTTGTTGGTTTCAAGTATATTAGATGAATAAATCCATCCATCTACCTATTTCCTTTTCTTAGTAGGATGATTTGTCCTCTAATCTAATAGGGATGTTAAAATCTCAACCATATAGTATTTAAAAAAAATGAATAAAAAAAAAATCGTGTATTCCAGTCCGACCTGGAGGAAGATAGGGAAACCAGGATCAAGTGAATCTAAAGAAAATTCCCATCTTTGCTCCTGTAGAACATCTTTCGTAACCCTTCTCCAAAATATTTTTGACCAATATGTATGGTTTTTTATGCTGACTTTATTTAGTTTACTGCATCACTACTATGTAATGCTCCCTCCGCTCCCATATTTCTACCTGTATTTCCAGTTTTCTTGATAACAGTATACTTTTAAGCTTCTATATTCCACTTATGATTGCTACTCTATTTTTTTTTTATTATACTTTGATTTTGTACCTTTCATTACTAGATTTGGTTTCTGCATTTTGTTGCTAAGCTTTTGAAATCACTTGTACCAAAATCTCTTATTTCTTGAAGATCTCACTTCATCTCTAAGTGGAATTATGTCCCGATATCAATAGAATGGTCAATTTTCTTTTAGTATCCTGACACAGATTTTGTTCTTGCTCTCTGTTCAACTACAAAGCTGTCTTTCTATGTACCCTTATCTCTTTACATATCTTTTTATTTGCTGTGCTTGTTCCTATCTTTAAAATCAGATTTGGGGATTGCATCAGTTTTGTATAATCTCCCTCTTCCTGTTCCTCAATTTAAAACTCTTCTGAAACATTAATTAGCTCCCCAAGAAGTCAAATGTTCACCATTCTCTCTGAAAATCTTCTAAAGGTGAATCTTCCTAAATAGCCTTTAACAAACAGCCTGTTACCTTCATTAAATTTTTATGTTTTTTTCTACTGTTCTGTGCACAGGAAAACTTGTCATGAAGATCCCTGAAAACTCAGTTAACCATCTACAGATCATTTCATACTCTTTTTTCCCCCCCTCCAGTGTTATTTATATAATCTTATCTTTCTTCAGTTTTCTCTTATGCTATCAGTTTTATTTTTTCTACTCTGATGTGACTAGCTTCCTTTTCTTCCTTTTTCTTAAGTTATCATGAACTTCCAAGTATCACTTTCTTTCTTAGACACATTTTCTTAATATCCTCCTGTTTGTGGAGACCTATTCTTTTTTGCTTGTTGTGTTTTAGATCAGCATTTGGTATTTGTTGTTCTCTCCAGTGACATTTACATTCATTGTTGTCTTTACAATCATTTCAATCTAATGCACAAAAAATTTCAAGCCCATACATAGACATATTCCACATATTCTACACCTAGTCATTTTTAAGTGATATACTGCTATATTGGTCTTAGCCTTAGTGTTTATTTTTTCTATGTTCTAAGCCTTAATGAAGAAAATCAATGAATTCCTGTAATTCCTTCTCTAGAAGATTATAGAACGTGTTTGAACATGTCATTTCTATTAGTTATAGTCTAGTTATTTACTTTATATAGTACATTCTTTGAGGTGGTGATTTTACAGCGTGCTCATTCCTACATATTGAAAACCAAACTTCTTGGATTTTTTGTTATGATCACTTTTGAAAGTTTATTTTTGATCTGCTCCTAAAATGGATATATTTTTTTTTAAAATTTATGAACTATATAATGCATCATCCCAAATTTTATCATGTAGTCTGTTTCTAAATGAGTCTTCTCAAAATTCTAAAACAAATCTGTCAATTAATTTAAATACTTTGGGTTTCACTGAGTTATCTTGAGTTCTTTGGTAAATATAGTACTGTATAAGTTTCTTTATCTGTAGTTACCACAGTGATTATTGCATTCTGAACTTTCTCGTATAATGAAAATTAACTGAAATCTTGGGCAAAGGTTACCTTTGAAGAAATTATGTACTAAAGCAGCTTTCTGCTGTGGTTCCATAAATAATATGTAGTGTTTTGAGTGATCAAACCAGCAGGATAGGTAAGTAAATCAGTCACCTTGTTTCCTCTACTGTTATCTTCCTTCCTGGTAACAGTTTGGTTGTCAGCAGTGACTTCATGGCATGCGTAAGATTTGTTAGGAGTGTTGCTGATAGATTACTTGGTCCAACTGCCATGGTTCTTTCATCATCTGTGTCTTACACTATGCTACGCTTGCTGGACAGCTGTGCTTGAAGAGTTCCCCATGGTAGCATTTTTTAATACCACTACTTGTAAGGCAATACTGTAAATGAAGTAGGAATTCAGGTGCATCACTTAACTGAAGAGTTACTGATCCTTTTTTGGTTCGGTGGCACCTGACTGTTACACAGTTCCGGTTTCATCAGGGTGCACCTTTATACTGGCCAGACAACAGCATGATGCTCTAAACAAGCAATGTAAGAATCATTTGATTCTGGATGCTTAGTACTGCAGTTGGTCTCTCGACAAATTTAAGATAGCATTAATAATAAAAATGTTTTAAAGCAGACACTGCATACTTTCAAATCATAGTTTTCTGATTTACTCTCTCACTTTGTAGACATATGGCATTTAAATTTTTAAATACTAAAGGAAATTACTAGGCAATACCTAACTGCTTTTTGATGTACTTAAACTTGAAGTTCTACAGAAGTATCTTGAAAGCATTAAACTAAAGGCATTTTGACATTAGAACAACAGAGAAGGTGATTTTAATGACAAAACCCAATGCTGTAAAGTCTGAATTTGAGCATTCAGTGTTACTTAGAAAAGCCAAACATGTTAGATGGCAAATTTCTGAAGCATTTTTGCTCTCTTGCTGATGCTAAAATTGTGCTTTTGTAATCTCAGTTCATATTGAACTACTCCTGTTGGTAAAATAACATAATCAAAGAAGTATGGTTTCTTGCTTTATAACAAGGTAGAAATGAGGTCATTATATGTGCATTTTTAACTCCTGTACGTGTCCTGGTTTGTATGTATGTGTACTACTTCAGAGATATTAGATCATTCTGTTACCTTTTCAGAAGACAGATGTGGAATGGACAGAAAATGGAAGTGCAAAATACTATGGTCTTGTTAAAATAAATGTAATCCTTCTTTACTTTGTAGCTGAGTGTGGTGGTCGAATTCATGCTGCTACATCGGGGCGCATTTTGTCCCCTGGTTACCCAGCACCATATGACAACAATCTTCATTGCACTTGGATTATCGAAGCAGATCCAGGAAAGACAATAAGGTACATGCTTAATTTCAATATTTATTGTTTACTTCAGTATTTTATAATTTATAGTCTATGCCTTACATTCTCACACTCCTCTACACAATTTTTTGTTTATTAACTCCTTCTTACATTAATAAAGTTGATGCTTGTCATGGTGGCATTTATGAGTGCCATTTCTCTAGGGAACCTGGGTATCTAAATTGTGTAGGGGACATCTAGGCACCTAATTCAGAACTGTGCATTCCATTAGATAATACGGCCTATAAATCTTCAGTGTGGTAGAGTGGTGCACTGCTATGCCTTTTTCTAGCTGTAAACAAGCTAAAGTGCCAAGCTGTTGTGGTGGGTTCACCTTGACTGGATGGCAGGTGCCCACTAAGCCGCTCTATCACTCCCCTCCTCAGCAGGACAGGGAGGGGAGGAAATAAGATTGAAAAAACCCTCGTGGGTCAAGATAAAGGCAATCTAATAAAGCAAAAGCAAAGGCCACGCATGGAAGCGAAGGAAAACAAAAGATTTATTCTCTACTTCCCATCAGCGGGTGATGTCCAGCCACTTCCTGTGAAGTAGGGCTTCAGTGTGCGTAGTGGTTGCTCCGGAAGACAAACATCGTAATAACGCATGCCTCCCGTCCTCCTCCTTTCTCTTAGCTTTTACTGCTGAGCAGATGTCATATGGTCTGGACTATCCCTTTGGCCAGTTTGGGTCAGCTGTCCTGGCTGTGTCCCCTCCTCTCAGCCTACTGGTGAGGGGGATGTTGGAGAGACAGCCTTGATGCTGTGCGAGCACTGCTCGGCAGCAGCCAAAACACCTTTCTAGCTACCAGTACAGAGCACAGCACGACGAGGGGTGCTATGGGGAGAATGAACTCCATCTCAGCCAGACCCAATACAGCTGTCAATAGCACCTTGAGTCACTGTAATGCCATTCTTCTATATTTTACTGTCACATTCAATGTAATAATGTGTTTTAAATCAAATATAATTATTCAACACTATTTCTTAAATACATTACCTCAAGCAGCTGTAAAGGTCTTGAGTCTGTCAGGAGCGCTTAGACATCAGGCATCTTGGACCGTGATGGGTATCTGTTAGGAACTGTCTTTTTGTCATGAATGCTTTGATCTGGTGAGGATTTGACAATGAACAGCAGCAGCAGAGAAGATTAGTGCTATAAAGCTTTATATACAACTCTGCAGGGTCTTCATTTTCTATTCCTGCTCTCTTCCATTATATCATTATTAACATATATAACATTTTGAATTATGTAAGTATCAGACTTTTCCCCCATAATCATTTGAATAATAAGACCAGCAACATCTCAGAAGACGTTGGAAACAATCAAATTTGAGGAAAATGATGAGATTTTAATAATAAGTGTGTACAGGACTGAGAGAATGCTTTATAGATAAGGACTGGAAGATTTCTCCACATAGAGTAGGCAGCATAACAGAAAAGGTAAGAAATTAGAAGAATGCAGAAAATGAGGAAGACACCACTGGTGACTACCACGAAATAAAGGTGCATGCCAAGAACTGAATGATGGAATCTAGAGCTTTTATTTCTATAATGATTTATGGAAGGATGATGGAAGGATTCAAGAACTCAGGCAGAAGGAAATTAGTAATACAATAAGAACTTTTAGAACAGTTTTTCCTCATCAGTTTGACATACTGACAAGAAAGACTATCATACTTTGCTGTTGTTGAATAGCTAAGTGAAGGAATACCAATATTTAAAGACTCTTTCAGCTCAGTTTTGCTGCAGTAACATACAGGTTCAAAAACTTTGAAATGACAAGTTCTATTCAATATTCAATCTAGTTTGTCCACTCCGAACAGGAAGTTGCTGTGAAAGCAAGAATGTAACAAAAACATTTAACTTCTAATCAAGATAGATAATCTTAATTTCTGTAATTTTAAAATAATTTATTGGTACTAATATGTTTAATGATATGCAACAGACATTAGTTTTATACTCTAGTGACAGAAGTATGTGATTTCCAGTTAATGTGTTACTTCAGAATATTAGCTATTTATTTATTTAGAGCAAAAAGTTAGCAAATGGTAAGCTGTTTCATTATTCAGTTTATGTGGACAATAGTTTTAACTGATCACTTAAATGAAAATTACTACTTTTTAAAATTAAACGGACAAAACAATATAAGCAAATGGCAAATTATTCACTGAGAGGTTTATTTCCTTTTTTATTTTTAGTAATCCTGTTTCACTAAGCCAAATAATGAATTCACTCCATTATAGGTGATTTCAATGCATCATTTACATTTAAATGACAATTTTCAAATTAATTATTTCCAATTAATGACAAATGTAATGAAGAAATATCAACACGCAACTATTTGAAACAAAAAAGAAGTTTTGATACTTACCTATTAGATTTCTTCAATGTTAAAAATGCAAACAGACAGCACTTGAAGTCAATGCACATATTTTGACTTATAACATTCTTGAACACCTTTCTAAATCTAATGCTTCACCTGGAGATAAATACAGATTATTCCATTATAATACAATTTTATATTTTATGTATTTTGGCATAAGGCAAAGATAGGATAGCATGTTTTCTGATTTTGTATAGGAAAGAAAATGCCATGCTGACAGAATTTCCTGTGCTATGTATGCTGTCCAGTAGCTGCTGCTTTTTTTCAATTGCATGTAATTCAAGCCAATCCGTGTTCTTGGTATCAACATTTGAATAGAGAGGAAATCTTTGATGACATCATAGTTCTTATCCCTTAAAATATCTATCATAAAAATGTTAGCTTATAGAACAAGTACTGTATTGCCCTGTAATGATGTTTTCTGTAATTCAGGCATTTATAGAACAGAGTAGCATCTCTCTTACAAGATCAGCTCATCCAACAGGAAAAATGGATAACTCTGCAGGACCACCAGCCCTGCTTCAGTCCTAAACACCATCTCAAAACTAAGTACAGTTTGGGAATGATTGCATGGAGTTTTGTGTATTTGTGTGTAATGAGTAATGTGCACTGCTTTATTTTCTCTTTGCAGTCTGCATTTTATTGTTTTTGACACTGAGGTTGCTCATGACATCTTGAAGGTATGGGATGGGCCTATTGAGAGCAGCATACTTCTGAAAGAATGGAGTGGCTCAGCCCTTCCAGAGGATATTCACAGTACTTTCAACTCATTAACATTACAATTTGACAGTGATTTCTTCATCAGCAAATCAGGCTTCTCCATTCAGTTTTCAAGTATGTAAATATTTTTTCATCTTAAATACAAGAATTATATGCATTATTTATATATATTATTCTTATATACATTAACTGTTTCTCATCTTTCAACTTCCTCAGTCTTTAAAAAAAAGAGATTATATTATTTTAATTATTTTGTATATTTATGCAAATAGCTATGACTAAGGAGAATTTTTGGATTTGCTTTGAATGTTTAAGTTTTCTTATTCCTTGTTTTGTACAGCAATCACATGTCTAGCATTATCTAATTAGCACTATTTAACAAGTAAAAATAGGTTCGTACATAGATAAGTTTTCTTCTGCACTGACAGTTTTAAATGTTCCTGCCAGTGCTACCTAATAATATATTATTCTGAGTTTACTCTTTATGTTGTTTGGTTTTTTTTTTCCTCACAGCTTTGGTTGCATTATGCATCATTTTTATGACCTTAACCTCTGTTAATGTTAAACTGAGGAAGACAATATATCTTACCATATTGAAATACATTTTAAAATTTACTATTTAACTAATCAAATTAATCTTTAGGTCTAAAGTGAAATCCCTTCTGTATACAGAGGAGCTGTGATTGATATTGTACAAGTGATCAATATTGTAAAACTGCGTATGTGGAGTTTTTCTATGATACTATGAGTGAAATGTTAGAGACTGAGGGTAGGACTGCAGGGAGACTGTATCATTGCCTTTCACTCAGTTGTTGCATCCTTATATATCTAGATATAATGTATGTAAGTGTATTTCTCCTCAGGAACATAGTAAAATTATGAATTAATAAAATGTGTGAGAGTAGGAGTATTATTTAAAACCTTCTCTGTCATTCAGAAGTAAAGGGCACTATTAAGCTTTCAGTCATTATTATTTGCAAGAAGAAGTATACTTTGGGAGTTTCCTGGTCTCTAAATAATGCATTTTACATTTACCCGTTTACTTCATTTTGCTTGATTTTTCTGAATGCTGTACCCCCCAAACCACAGGCTCTTTCATCAGCCCTAAGGTACCTAGTTAAAAGTATGCAAAATAAATTAAAGACAAAGAGCAGAATAAACATTTCTAGAATTTCTGACCAGTGTACTATATATATAATATGCTGCTTTTCATGTTGTTTGAAAAAAGTTAAATTTTACATTTGTGGAAATGAAGGGGTTTTTTTGCTCTGTTAGGGTTAGCAAACACATTTTATGTTGTATTATATGAAAATATTTACAAGTTTATGCACAAATTTTGAAAGGAGGAAAATGTTTAAGCAGTTAGATTTGTTAACACATTCTTTGACCTTCAGTGATACTTATAGTAAGTAGGAGACAGTTTAATGCTTTAAGGGTGAAGAACTGATTTTGTCATCTTAGTATAATATCTGATGGATGCACTCAGTGATCATGCTGGCAATTGCAGAGTATGTCTTACTGCAATTAGTGGTGAAGAACTGAATGCCTTAACTCAAGTAAAGGGAAAATGATATTAAAGTTTCATTCACCCTGCTTGACAAGTGGAATGTTTTATTAATTTTTTAATTGTAAGGAGTAAAAAATATGATTTAAGGAATATGTTAAAGTAAATGTTAAATTATTTCATCTAAAAATCAGAGCTTGGTTTATTTAGTCTTCTTGAGGCAATGGACAGACCACTGTGGCCTTGATCTGTAAAGGATTTAAACTAAGTAATCTATGGCTAAGTGAGGATCTTTGCATACTTTAGTATTCATCGTGTGTTCAAACTGTAGGCCAGTTTATAGCAAAGCTGCACAGAATATTGAAATTTCACTACTTTAGTGGTTTGTAACTCAATGAATAAAAGTCTTGAGTTGCTTGAACTTTTTTCTAGTTGCAGAAGATGTAGATGTTTTATTACAAGTTCTGTGAAGGTGACTGCTCAAGTTTCGTGTCTTTGTGTCACTAGAAGGATTTACAAGTGTTGCATTTATTAATGAGTATATTTTATTTAAATATTAATTACAGTCCAAGAAGTAAACTTCAGGTGCATAATTGCACAGGTTTGGAAAACTTTCAATAATCTGGACTTCTTAGACATGCAATTTCTGTATTGGACTATGCAATTGGGAAGAGTGTCTATGTCAGTGAATATCCACTTAAGGGATCATACAAAGGATATACACCTGAGAGTATCAGGTCAGAACAACAGCTTACAGACAAAACATTAAAGTGCTAACTTTTAGCTGGAGAATTTGTTTCACTGTGCTGTGAATGTGCTGATTACTTTCTCTACTTTGCAGTCTAGAATGTCCTTACTGCATCTGCCTAAAAAAGAGGTGCTGTGAAAGGATAGTATGAGGTAGATCAGAAAATATCACCTATAAATTACTTACTGTTGATTGTAAATGTAATTAGAGGTATTTTTAATGGAAAAATATAGATGGCTGAAGGTTACAAAATGTTTGAACACTATTAAAAGTGCCTTGTCTTGCCCACTCAGCTCAGCAAGTAGAGCATAAGGACACGAACTGACAAGAGTGATTATGTTAATTGTAATCAGTCTAATGCTTTTCATTAAAACTTAATTACCATTTAATCATGCATAAAAGGACAAAAATGGAGTTCATTGTACAAAATTGACCTTTACTCTTGGGGTTAAATACATTTAAACTATGTATTACAAGTCAGGGATGTCGACCGACTCTTCCTGGTCATGATATTAAAAGTGAACACAAGAAGGGTATAGGCAAATTTGGTATTTGGCTTCTTAATTCCAAAGAAACAAAATTACTGGCAGCAAAAACTTCCTGCCTAAGTTAACCACAAAAAATAAGTTTTCTAACCTAGCTTAATTCTGTCCTACGTGTCTAAGGTAAATGGGATAAATTTCCCTCTGAAGTTGCCTTTTTCTTGTTATCAGCTATAGGTCTAGATGTACTAACATATGCTAAATTTCAAACCTCTGGACATCTAAGGGGAGGTGAAATGAATCCTACCTGTCTTTTTACAGGTGTCTACTTCCCTTTGATATGCCGTAAGGTATCCTGACTAATCTCCATCTGCCAGTCCAGAAGGTCACACACCCATAAGTCGTTGGTCATATCTTCCAGTCTTGTGCAGATACCTTGGATATTGTAAGGCATCTCGAATGAGACTAGCCACCTATGTTGAAGCAGATCAGTCTTGCCCTGAATGTTTAATCTTCAGCTACTCTAGACTCCTGAAAGCACCTGAACCCCATGCTAGCAGATGGTCCATTGCTTTTATTGACCTGAAGCTTATTTTATTGAGAGCTTGTTTATATCTAACCATATAATTCATTTCTTGATATTTAACAAAACCAATAGAAGTGGCAGATGATAGGAACAGCACTGGCAGTTGCTAGTCACATTATCATTCTTACAGACTCAGACAGCCTTATTTTAACAATACCTAATAGTAGTTCTACCTTTACTGTCTAGCCTTTTTTCTTGAACTAAATTCTCAGCTGTTGCAACTTAAAGAGAACTGTATCCTTTTCTTAAACTAAATAATGCATTCATAGTTCCTCAGCTGGTTTCACAGATTTTGCTCCTCAAGGCTATAATGCATCAAAGGATTATTTGCACACTTAAAATAGAAAAAACATTTTTGGAAATGTCTGGCTTTTCTAGAGTCAGACCAATCTGTGATCATTTTCTATGCCTACCTCTGGTTCTATGGCATTGTTAATTTCTCCTAGTCATAGTACTCTGTAAGCATACACTTTAATTAACAATATAGCTATCTCTGCTTTCATGAGAACAGAAAGGTTATCTCTTTTTTGCTAATACAGAAGAACTGGCAAAAAGTTAATAAAGTAGCAAAGAGTTTTTTCTTAATTTCTTTGAAATATTTCTATGTTATTAGAAGAACACTCATTCTATTAAAAGCAAAGATACAAAATTAAGGCACTTCCATGGTTGGTCTAGTCCATTTTTTTTTCTGTTGTTTGCTTGCTCTCCCAATATTTTTAAAATTTGCTCTTGAAGTAAATGCAGATATAAGCAATGATGAGTAAAGATGCCTGACTAAATCTTTATCTTAACAAGTCATCAATTATGATAATAAAAATAAACAACTTATACAAACCAGTTAATTAGAACAATTATTTGGAAATTATTGTGTCTGATGTTGACACATCTGTTGATATCTTACTTCCTCTGACAAGAGCTGAAGCATCAGCAGTTCTGTGTTCCATAGTTCCTAATGACACTGGGCTTAATCTGACAAATCTGTTTAAGCAATGATGCCTGCTTCTGTCCAGTTTTGTAATTCCATTTGATCATTTGTTTGTCTACAGCAATTCTTACAGTAACTGTGTCACCTATCTCAAAATGTTAAGAGTACTGGTGTCTTGTAAATTGTTCTTTTATTGCTGAGATAACTTTTAATCGCTTGCCAAATGGCCTGAGCTACTACACCTAAGTAGTATGAGCATTTCCACAACAGAATCTTCGTTGCTAGGATTTGTCATGCAATTATTCCAGTTTGATTCACAATTAAATTATCAAGAAAAGGGGGTTAGCACAAAAATATATTTTAAAAGAAATTTACACTTGTGTAATCATATATTTGTCTTACTAACTAAATTTTGAGTTCAAAGAAAATGAAATCCATTAAGACATCCCATGTTGAAATAAATAAATGGAAACAAGAATTCAAGATTCCCTTTTGAAGCCTAACCTAATCATTCTGCAGTTCAGTCTCTTGTCTTGCTTTCTGTGATGCTATAAATGTTGCATTGCATGCTCAAAATAACACAGTTTCATGCTAATGAGTTAGATGATGGGTAGGAATGCTATGTGTCATAGCATTGCTATCCATTGTCTAATCCATGTTCTGGGCAAGGCAGCCTCAGTTTCATCGTGGGTAGCAGTTCTTCATTCCCTTCCTGTGGAACTGAGCAGAACTTAATCTTGTAGGTTACTTTGATGGTTATCTCTAAACTCCTGAGCTTTTGTACTTCAGACTTAATGAAAGAGGCTGCATTAGCATTTGGGTTTCTTTTTTTCTTCACATTCTTGGACAATACAAGACATTTAAATACCTGGTTGATGCTAATTTGCACAGTTCTTGGTCTGTACATTTACCTATATTACATGAGATACTTTTTAGAGAGCATACACTATTTTTTCACATTTGGAAATGTTTGTTAGTCTGAAATCACTGCAAATCCTATGTACAATGTCTCAGCTTTGATATGCCAAAATCCTCTCAAACCTATTGTGCAAGCATAATGCACTAGACAGGGGAAGCTTGTGCATTGCCTGCAATTTATGAGCCTAACTCCTGAAAAGCCTTTATTATTTTTATAACCACGTGGAGTAGGAAAAAATAGAGTGTCTGCAGCACAACACTACAGCAAGTAGCTTATGTGACTATTTACCATGGACATAGTGAACACGATATTGATGAAGGTGATGTGTTTCTTTTCTCAAGCTACAATAGATTACAGGCTAAACAAACTGATAAAAAAAAGAAGCGTCCTTCAGGTGAAAGACAAATCAGGCACAAATCTAACATGTTGCTCACAAGGCTACAGACACACAAATACAGTGTGTCATATTCTAAAAAAACCAGTCTCCTATTGATTTTCAGTGAAGTTTTAAATCAACTTTGAAAATGTAATTTGGGGCCAAACCCCAAATAAGCTCTAAAATGGGATTCTGGAAGATTATTAAATTAAAAACAGAGGCTTAACACAGTGGCTGCCTGTAGCGTTCACCGCATATCAAGGTGCCACAATTAGATCACTGATCAACCCCAGACCAGGGAAAGAGACAGGTAACACACACAGTGTGAGCGCCAACTTCCGCCTTTTATTGTGCAGTCAATTCCTTTTATACTAACCAGGGTAGGCAGGATTACAGATACAGCATAAGGCTGCGACTAACCCTCTAACTTTCCGTGACATCGCGAGATCTTCCGAACGCCGAACCGTACAGCTGCCAACATATGGAGGTCTGAAAACTCCCTAGCAATCTGTGGTTTTCCCAGCTGCCCATTCTTCTGGCATGTACCTCTAGTTCCATCTTTTGCGTACACAGAAGCCTGTTCCACTCTGAGCAGGTGAGATAGTAAGAGATGGGAAATCTGTACAGAGTACTACTCTATAACCCACTGAGTATCATGTAGCTTACTGCTTACAACACATGTGCAAGAACTGAGAAGCAGCCATTTAGTTCCTTTCCAGCTTAATGGAATTCAAATCCTCAGTCCTGGCTATGCCATTTTAGGCACCTAATTTTTCTCAGTCATTTCTAAAAAGTCTAACTATGGAATTTGGTTTGGTTTAGCACCCTTGAGTCTAGAATGCAGTTATTGCTTTCCTTGCTTTACAGCATATATGTTTTAATCATGTTCAGCTTCAAGTTTCTGAATTCATCAGGTTTTTTAGAAAATTGCATATGGCAATGTTACATCACAGCATGAACATGGCCCTTCTCATAAGTATGTAAGCTAGATATTAATTGTGTGTCTATATATCAGTGTAAGGGCTGAGAAGAAAAGAGCCTGTTATAAAAGAAGAGCAATGACAGCAGAACTGGTGATTTTTAATGTCTGGATTACTTATCAATGCATATAACCTCTATACCCTTTAGATATTTGCACAATACCAAATGAAGCAATAGTAGACTTGTAATTTTCATGCAGTTACAGAACCTCTTGGGGATCTTGAGAAGTAAAACAACTTGGAAAGGAGACAAGTTGACAGTCTGTCTAAATGTTCACTTTACTAGATGACACATCAGTGCTTAAATGTCTGGTGTTTTGTTTAATTAGGATTGAGTGTATTTGGCATGATAAAAAGGTTGTTAGTTTCACATACATAAAGTAACTTCTGAGGCTGCAAGAACAAAAGTGTAAAAAACATTTTGGTGCTTATAAAACATCTGTGATTGTTTTTAAAATTTATAACTTTGTGTATAAGAAATGGAGATTAACAGTGAAATGAATATTAAAAGGCATCAGTTCTTCATAATGGGTGCATACTTGACAATCAAAATGGGAAAAAAATGTTTGCTGAGATATTATATTGGATAAGTTTTAAGGAGAAAATGAAGATATTCAGAAATTTGTTGGAAAAAAGATACGAATTCATGACAGAGATGGCCTTATGCCCGTTTACTCAAAAGAATTATGATTCTTTAACAGATATGCACTATACTGATCCATTTTTTAGAGCTGTTACTGTCTGTCAAGTAAGAAATAACTTCTCTGAGGTCATGACTATGCTTTCCTTCCCCTGTGGCCAAGTATACATTTAGGAAACTGCACTAATATAGGATGTCAGGTAAATTGTCAGAGTGGTGCCTGGGGAGTGCTTACACAGTACTCATTAGTAGTGACAGCCGTTCCTTTAGTTCTTGGATTGACGCTTATAAATTCTGGTGGAAAAAAGTCCACCACTGTTAAAATAACCTGCCATGTCTTTTACTTTATTTAGATAGAGGGACCATCCAAAGGTATGATATGTACTATTTTGGAATGGAAACAAGGAGGAAAAAATATGAATAATAAAAAGTTAAACAAAGCTCCTGTGTTTGTAATGTGTTAATTATCATAACCCATGAATTCTTACATAGAGATGTTTTATGGTTTCTGTGGTTTGTCTAAGTAACCACCTATTTGCTAGAACATGCATAAAACCATTTTATGAATGTGAAATGTTTGTTTCTCATTTTGCTCATTCTTTTTTCAACCTTTCTGTCTCCTGAAAATTTACAACAGGGGAAAAAAAAGTTTTCCAGTTGTACAACTTGGTAACTGTTTCAGTTTTGCAAATATTTAGTTGCTCTTGCTGTTTCTTATAGTGGTATAATATTTTGGTGTGGACAGAAGCAGTAGATGCAGTTATTAATATAGAAAATGGATTACCTGCACATTATGGTCACAAAGATTGCATAGTGGTGGTAGTGGTGGAGCTCTTTTATCTTACGCAAGCCCTTGGGGTATACCATTTGAAATGAGCTAACAAAATCATTCTAATGAAATATTAATGTTTCCTGGGAATGAAACAGAAAACATGAAAAAAACCCCAACCACCCCAAAAAGTAGAGCAGAAAGGATGGACTGTTATCACTAACACACATAATTTATAGGGGATATGGAGGAGACTGTGCCCCTCTATTCAAAACAATAGAAAGTGATTATCAAGCATAAAGAAATAATATTTTATGTTCTTAGTCTTTTGGGCCTGTAATTTGTAACGCTGTCCTAAAACCCAGGTACTTGAAGCGCTACATACTGTTCAAAATACGGAAAGACATAGTTACTGCTTTCCCAGAGAGTGTTGGAGAATGGCACAACCAAATATGATAAGTAACAATAACATTAGCTCATCAGCCAACAAAGTGGTAAAAACCAGTTCTAACAACAGCACATATGCTTTTAATAAATTACATCAGTTTTTCTCTGAATGCTCCTTATTGGTCTGATCATGTTTTGCAGACATCAGAGCAAAAGTACATCTTGAAAAGACATCAGATGTACAGTTGAGATGGTTGTTAATCAGTTTAAGAATGAATCAGTTGTCTGATGCATGAGCACACAAGAAAGTATACATAGTTCATATTAGAAAAAAAGACAATAATTTAATATTGATTTTTTACGTTTTTCAAGGATTTTCCCTTGCAGTACCAGAGATGAGCAGAAGGGTGTAGTGTAGCAGTTTTTTTAAAGTCTGTGGCTGGATTCAAGAAATTTAAACTTGGTTGAATGAAGATGGTGAAAGTGGTAGAGGGACTTGTAGATACACACCATTATCATTAATAGTGATTGTGACACTGGGTTTGTGACTTCTTATTTTGGCTTTTGCTCACAATTGTGGTGAGTTCTTTGAAAAAGACATGTTTGGGTGGAGCAGCCTGGAGTGGTAGGAAATAGTGTGATTCAGTGATTTAGGGACAGTAGTCTCCAGAGACGGGACCTTCTTTCCTTGGGAAGACTGCAATGTTTACTGCAGCTCAGGATGTTGAATACCTGAAGCCAGTAGAAGAGACCTGGCACCTTCCACAAATCCATAGTGGATGTAGATTTGTGTATCCACTTTCTGGATGATTCCTTGCTTCAAGTCATACCATACTGGTTGTTCTCCTCAGTTTAACATTGCTTTTTTAATTAATTTATTTTTTTACAAAGCACAATCCATATCCAAACTCAGGAGACTGAACATAGGGGAGATTTTGCTTAGATTCAGTTTGAGTGTACTCTAAGAAAGTTGTTGCTTGCCCCTGAAATGGGAACTTCAGGGCTACATAAAACTGCTATTTCATTCAGCTCGCTGGGTAAACATAACATTTGCATGCTGCAGGATATTAAGACTATAAAACAATGTTATTTATATTATGGTACTTACCCTATTGCGCAAAAGGCGTCAAAGTGCATAAAGAAATTTGTTTTGATAACCAGAACGTTAAAGTGAAAAAAGGAGTTACTAACTTTTTTGATGCATTAACCGGACAGCCCCCTGCCAAAAAGAAAAAGAAAAAAAAAAGAAAAAAAAAGAAGAGGGAAATAAAAAGAAAGAAAAGCTTGTGTTTGTTTCCTCTCAGGCCATATTTTATGCTAAGGAAACTGGCAGGAAGCCAACATAATCAGGATGTATCTCAGTGGGCAGATTCTCATAAAAATAAAGAAACAAAATGCCTTCCTATATTAACTGATGAGTAAATAATATTGCCTCTGGTTGGAATGCTCTTGTAAAAATATTGTGCTTTTAATTATGGATGTTTACTATCTACACCTTAAAGCTTTATTTCATCATTCCCTTACAGCTTCTATCGCATCAACCTGTAACGATCCTGGGACACCACAGAATGGCACTAGATACGGAGACAGCAGAGAGCCTGGAGACACTACCACCTTTCAATGTGACCCTGGCTACCAACTTCAAGGACAGGCTAAAATTACATGTGTGCAACTGAATAACCGATTCTTCTGGCAACCTGATCCTCCTACATGCATAGGTAATAAGATGAAATGTTAGTCTCTGTTTAGGATTAATACAGATCAGATTTCTTGTTCAACTAGTGGACATATGATGCTCATGCTGGAGTGATGCTCTTTGCAGAACCCAGTTATTTCGTACTTATGGTTACTGACAGCCTCATTCTCAAGATTAACACTATTTTTGGATGTCATTTTCTCACTCTATTTTTTAAACATCATGCAAGTTTAAAATTGACAAAGTCTAATAGAAATAATTAAATGGAAGAGGTGATTTGGATAAAAAAATTCTTGTTGAAATGTTCTTATTAGAATGGTCTTCTATGTAATAATTTAGTTACATAAACTGTAATCCATTATTTATTCTGAAAATTGTCTGAATTTTCTATATACTAAACACCAATCCTGTGCAGTCCCTAGGAAGCTAAAGATATTTTTTCTGAAGCAGGATGCTTGTTGGGAAAGGTAAATTCAGAGAAGGGGGTCCAAGTGACAACACTGTTGAAAGAATTGAGATATATTTCTATAAAACCAGGAGACGGTGGGAGATCTTTCTCTGAAACAAATTTTGATTCTTGGTTCCATAGTCCTATATGGCATAAAGGTTTCTCTGAGTTCCTGGTCAGTAGAAGAATAATTACAGGCTTAGAAGTCTTGCTCAAATGTATTTTAAGGTCATCAGTGTAGTTCTTCTAAAATTCTAAGATTGAGTTAATCAACATCTCTGAAAAATCTGCTAGGTATAGTAATTTTTTAAATCTTTATGATTTTGTTGCCTATTGATTTATAATTAAATGAAGACTTATTTTAATAATTGTAAAACCCAGATACAATACATTTTAATAGTGGTGGAATAAGCATAATGCTTTTTCTTTCTCCAAGCCATTTTGGGAAGGCTCTTTCCAAAACAGCAAATCCCCAAACAACTGCAGTGCCTTTGTTTCTCTGAAGTGTTTACGGATATCTCAAAATTACTGGGAAGGATTTGGTATAATGCAAGATAATGTCTCTAACTCCATATCATCTAGCATAATTGTAGCAGCATATAATCTGAACATTGTCTTCTGGATACCTTGTGTGCAATGTATAAATAGCAGTATGAAAATGTTTACTAAATATACTGGGATTATTCACAGATTAAAAATATTTAAATAAAAATAAAAAATAAGACATCTGGTGCCTAAAGGTCTAGAAGATTCATGCTCTTTCTGTTAATACCAATTATAATCACTCCATATTTCTTTACAGTCTAGTAAAAAAAATCCAAAACATGAAAGAAGGAAATAAAGAAGGAAAGAAAGAGAGAGAACATTTGGGCAAAAAGTGTATACGTATTGTTATTCTTTCATATACTCAAGGTGACTTTGAATGGGAAAGCAGATTAAAGTAATCTTTACTGTAGACATGACAATATTAGAAACCTTAAGGGTTCTGTAAAGCCATTAGATGTCATTTAAAAAATTTCCATAAAGTCCTTATTTCAGTATGCTGACTTATAAATGAAAAATGATTTACATTTAATAACTGTACTCCTCAGTACTCTGAACATTGTGTGACTTTCATTCCTGATTGTTTAATGTTTTCTGCTCTATTTGTACTTTATAACTTTGATAATGGTTATCTCAGTCTGAATCATCAGCACACATAAGGAACATGTGAAATGTTTCCTGGAACTGTTATTTGTGAATAAAACCAAAAAGAAATAAAAAATTAAAAAAAAAAAACCACAACAAAAAAACCAAAAAGCCACCAAAACCCAACACAAAACCCCCATACACTGGATCAAAAATAATAAATAAAATACCAAAACTATAGACACAAAAACCCCTAGATACACATATATATACACTAAGTGTTTAAATACACAAACAAATAAATAAATACTGGGGGGGGGGAAGTTTAGTTTGTTTTCATAAATAACATGAGGGGAATGTGTTCATTAATGTTTTCATTTGGGTTAGGAGCATGGTTTCCAAGTAAATTTTCTTGCTCACGCTTTAGTTCATGATGTTGAATTTTGTTGGAGCTTTTGAATGAAACTAAACTGCAAGATGTGCTCTATGAGTGCATCTGATATACTCCAACTAATAGTAAGCATTCAGTCCATTGGACCAGACTAGAAATAGCCTGAAAAAAATCCTTCTTTAAAATGTTAATGCAGACTCCAAATCCTTAGTACCAACTGTTTTGCACTACAAATGTGTTCCTATCAGTCTGCATGACTTGGTAATGTAGATGAAGCCTGTGTTAACTACTGTGCTTCTTAGTTAGATTTCTATGTGATTATCATCTTTGGAAGTTGGATTCCTTATCTGTTTAAAAGTAAATTCAATTTATGGTAACTAAATGAATGCATTTGATTTTTGATTTGGGTAATAACCTTTACTGAGTCAATCAAACTGTTTTGTGTTACACCTACGGTGAAAAGAAACTGCATCCTGAATCCTGCTATTGAGCTTTCCCAGTTCTTAAAGTAATTCCAGTGCATAAGAAATACTTCATCTTGATAGAGAAGTGATTAAGTAACAGCGAGAATATACAGGACTTCCTATATAACTTCATATTTTTATTTCTTTAGAAAGAGCTTTTCTCATGCTTCTTTTGAATAGGAACAAAGCTCACTTTTTTAAGGAAAATATAAAAATGTTTGCTAGCTGGAATTGGGAAAGTTCTATGTTGTTTTTTTTAATTATTATTATTTTTGGTAAATGTAGAAGTCAATTTACTCCTATTTAACTAGGAGTTATATATATAAGCTACATATATATAAGCTAATATGTTCTTGTGAATTTAACTTGTGACCATATTCCTATTTCTTTTTACATTGTGACAGCTGCATGTGGAGGAAACCTGACAGGCCCGGCAGGAGTTATCTTATCACCTAACTATCCACAGCCTTATCCTCCTGGAAAAGAATGTGACTGGAGAATAAAAGTGAACCCTGACTTTGTCATTGCCTTGATATTCAAAAGGTACCATTTCTAGATGAATGCCTCTGTTTAAAAGGATTTTAAATGTCACATCTAAAAATGGCATCATTTATCACTTCTTAAAGCTTCTAATTATATTCTCTGGCTAAGTCCTGAAGCATACATCTAACACATGCTATATCATTGCTTCCAAATAACAGAAAAGAAAATAATATATTTTTATGGCACTTTTGATATCAAATATATTCCTGAGAAACAAAACTTTCTTTGACCTGTGCAATAAAAATCTTTGAAAAACAATGTAAATTTGTAGAAATGCTTGATTTATGTTGTTGCACCTTATAGTAGAGTCTTGAACTGTAGTGGAAACTCTAACTCAGTTTTTAAACTTTTTTTACAAATACAGTCTAAATACCCTTTACTTGGAGTGCCTAGATCAGGAAAAACAATTGGTCTACTTAGTCAAGACATAAAAGACATCTAGATAATGTTGTCTCATAATTTTAAAAAATTTTTACTTAGTGTTCCATCATCAACCTATATTTTTTGCATGGATTTTTAACACAAATTGAAGTTCAGGGATATAGTCATATTCATGTGTTCAATTTATCATTTCTATTTGAATCAGGCCTATATAATCATCTTGCTTGCTATATCTGTGGATGTAAATGCAAATTTTTTTCTTTTTTTTGATTCTCTGTCCTAAGTTTGATTTTTAAGCTAAGAATGGTAACATTGCTGTTGACTTCAGTGGGATGGTGATCAATTCTGATTCTTTTAGGAAGAGATGATGGCATGTTCAGAACTTTGTTGTGTAATATTTGAACACTTCTTTTAAAAAAAAACAAACAAACAAACAAAAAAAAAAAACCAACCCAACACCAAAACAACAAATACCCAAACAATTTCTTTCACTGACTGATTGCAATGTGTTTTCTAATAAAATATTGATACACAAGAAATTAAAGAATTAAAGCCTAAGGTACTTGAAATTATATAATCAAGAATATGATAATTCTGTTCTTCAGGTATTTTATCAAATAGCATTAAGGGATAAGAATAGTCCTCAACTAATTACGCTCTTGAAGATGCACATGATAGGTGTGGTAAGCACCATATTTCTGTGGACTGCCTAAATTATCAGCTCAAACGCTCCATTTCAAGTAAGATGAAAGAAACTTACAGTTAGTGAGTATTCAGGTTTGTTTGTGAATTCCATTTTAAGGAATACAAGTATGAGCAATATAATGGAATTTGCAGTTTATGCTATACTTCCAGTACATTTTATAAATAATTTCAGTCCATTAATACACACTGGACTGCCTAAGTCTTTCCTAAATGTGATACTCTCTGCTAGAAGTTCTTTAATTCTCCAGACAGAAATCTTCCTTAGAAATCTGAAAGAAAAGGTTATGCTATGACTTCCCAGGTTGTTGGCACTACCTTTTACAACATTATCTGATGTTGGAGAATATTCTTGGAAACTCATTCATTTCTGACTGATAGTGGTATAAGGCATTTAAGGTGTAGATTGTGGGGTTGTTAATTTTGGAAATATTTTTAGAAAACTGAAAAAAAAAAAGAAAATTGGAATACAAATTAAGAGGGAGGGGAGAACCAACACTGTTATCTGTATACATATGGGTATCGAACAGACCAAATGGAAGACTTTGTCTGCTTTTCTTTTTTAATAAATACTGTATTTTTAATATAAATGAACCATAAGAGTAATATGGATTCATATTTAACAAAAAGGTTGCAAATACATGCAGGTAGCTTTGTAGTAGAGAAGTAAATTGACATAGTTTTACAAATATATTTAATGTTAGAACACAAAAAACTTAATGCACTATCACAAACCCCCTCTGATTTATATGAAATGTCAGTGCTGAAATAACTCCATCTCTGCAATTCTTTCAATAACTTCCTTGATTTTTAGACTAGACTAGACTATTTCTGCTGGAAGGGACCTACAGTGATCATCTAGTCCAGCTGCCTGACCAGTTCAGGGCTGACCAAGAGTTAAAGCATGGTATTAAGGACATTGTCCCAATGCCTCTTAAACACTGACAGGCTTGGGGCATCGACCACCTCTCTAGGAAGCCTGTTCCAGTGCCTGACCACCCTCTCAGTAAAGAAATGCTTCCTAATGTTCAGTCTAAACCTCCTGTGGCGCAGCTTTGAACCATTCCCACACATCCTATCACTGGATCTCAGGGAGAAGAGCTCAGCACCTCCCTCTCCATGTCCCCTCCTCAGGAAGCTGTAGAGAGCAATGAGGTCGCCCCTCTGCCTCCTTTTCTCCAAACTAGACAAGCCCAAAGTCCTTAGCTGCTCCTCACAGGACATTCCTTCCAGCCCTTTCAGCTTTGTTGCCCTCCTCTGGAGGTATTCGAGGACCTTCACATCCTTCTGAAATCATGGGGCCCAGAACTGCACACAGTACTCCAGGTGAGGCCGCACCAACACGAATACAGCAGGATAATCCCGTCTTTTGAGTGGCTCATTATACTGTGTTTGATGCACCCTAGGATGGGGTTTGCCCTCTTGGCTGCCAGGATACACTGCTGACTCATACTGAGTCTGCTGCCGACCAGCACCCTCAGATCCCTTTCTGCAGGGCTGCTCTCCAGCCACTCCTCTCCCAGTGTGTACTTGTGCCTGGCATTACTCCGTCCCAGGTGCAGAATCCAGTATTTTGAATTGTTACATTTCATCCCATTAGTGATTGCCCAGTGCTCCAATCGATCTAGATCCCTCTGCAAGACATGTCTTCCTTGAAGAGAGTCAACAGCACCTGCCAGTTTCGTATCATCAGCAAACTTGGTAATGGTGCATTCAACTCCTGCATCCAGATCGTTAATAAATACACTGAGCAGAACTGGCCTTAGAACTGAACACTGAGGAGCACTGCTGGTGACAAGTCACCAGCTAGATGTAGCCCCATTCGCTACAACCCTTTGAGCTCTGCCCTTCAGTCACTTCTTCACCCAGCACACCATGAACCTGCTCATCCCGCAGTTGGACAACTTGTTCAGAAGGGTGTTGTGAGGGACAGTATCAAAACCTTAATAAAATCCAGGAAAACTATATCCACTGCCTTCCCTTCATCCACTAGGTGGGTGACCTTATAGTAGAAGGATATCAAATTAGTTAAACAGGACTTTCCTTCTGTGAACACGTTGACTGTGCCTGATGGTTGCATTATTCTTTAAATGCCTTTCAATAGCACCCAGTATAATCTTCTCGACAATTTTTCCAGGAACTGAGGTTAGACTGACAGGCCTGTAGTTCCCTGGGTCTTCCCTCACACCCTTCTTGTAAACTGCAATAACACTGGCTAACTTCCAGTCAGCAGGGGCTCCCCTGGCCCCCAAGACCTTTGATAGATGATCGAGGGGGGTAATGTTTCTTTGACATCTGCAAAATCTTTCTTAACATACCATTTTCTGTTTATTTTATCTAACATTTTTCATTCTTAGGCAGTAGGTTACAGCTAAGGCCTGTACTATTCTCAAGGAACTGGCTTTGAGAAGACAGCACTGTCTGCATAGGATGAGAGTGCCTGTGTTTTTATCTTTATGTTGTCTCAGAACTCATCTCAATTAAATTCCTCTGAAAGACATTTCGTTTGTATTATCTTCATAATTGCTTTGTATAAACATATAAATGTCATCAAATATGCGTAGCATAGATGGTTTAGTGAGAATAATAATTCACTTTATCATAATTCCCTGATATAATTTGGGTATGAACAAAGGCAAGTTCCAGGATAGTGGTCTTTCTGTATGAAAGCCTCTTGTTTCTAAAGTGGTAAATTTGTGCTTGTAATGGGTGGATTTAATATCATCGACTTTAGCCAACTAAAAGCTGGACTTTTAATTTAAGCTACTTGTCTGGATCATGGTCACTGGTAAGAGGCAGCCTTTCTGCAGCAGGTGATTCATTCTATCTTGAGAAAGGTGTTTAGGATAGGTGGGAGGATATGCTGCTTTTTCACTGACTGTAGACAGAGTCTGCATGATGGCCTGATAGTAGATCTTTTGGAAAGCTGAAGGTGTTCAAATCAATGGTAAAGAGAACTCCATTGAAAGTTGGTAAATTTTCACTGTGAATCATATTTTAAAAGACTTTTATTTCTTGAGAAGAAAATGTGTTAGGCAGAAGACTGCAGCCGTAGTCACAGTAGTGTTTAACTCATGAAAAAGAAATGAAGACTTAATTCTCTTTTTCCTTTATTTTCAGTTTCAGTATGGAACCCAGTTATGATTTTCTACATATCTATGAAGGGGAAGATTCCAACAGTCCTCTAATTGGGAGTTTTCAAGGCTCACAGGCTCCTGAAAGAATAGAGAGCAGTGGTAACAGTCTGTTTCTGGCTTTTCGCAGTGATGCTTCTGTTGGAATGTCAGGATTTGCCATTGACTATAAAGGTACTGTTCTCACCATAATCTATGGAAAGATAAAGGGAAAGAAATGTCATCTGGTATTTACTGAGACTCAAATCTGTTTACTTCTAGATGTACTCATACTGAACTGCCAAATACCTCTTTGCATCAATGTAGGTTTTCAAAACTATTTTCTGTAAATCTGTGGAGGAACACAGAAATCCTCTTTCATAAAATCTCTCTCACATTACTTACGCACGTTTTCATCTTCCAGAAAAAAAAGTAGAGATAGAAGATGCACATCACAAGTAGCATTTGAAAGAGTTGTAGAATAATGGAATTGTCTAACCCAATTAGGATACATGACTGCTGCTACTTCCTTACTGATACTTACCAATACATTTTCCTTTCCACTTTGTTGTTGAATCTACATATGCATTTTTTAATAACTACTGCAGGACAATATTTGCATTTTTTGGCAGGGTATCTATTACAAGCCAGAGAATGGGTTATGCTGACTGTTTATTAAAGAAAGACACACACTCGCTTCAAATGCTGGTTTCTTTTCTGGTCACAGATGCTGTCTCTAGCTTGATTGTCATCTCTGCTGAGATTTATTAAGCTGTTTTTCATTAGCAGAGGTGCTGCCTCAGTTTTTTATTCTTGACATGGAAGCAAACTACATTAATGTACATGTCAGAAATGAAGGAACAAAAATATCTAAAGAGTATAGAAATAACATACCAATAAAAGAGAGGGAGGTTAAAAAGAACTATTAAATCATTTTTATACTTAGTCTTCATCTTTCATTCGGCATTATGCATTATTCTCCACACTGGCAAGGCTTTTCTTCCCAAAGTAATTGTCATATTGCCATAGATGAAATCTTAGTCTGTTTGTTCCTATCTAAACTTGAAACAAAATATAAATAAAATGGGAAAACAGTTTGTTCCAGGAAGTCTTGTTGGCCTGCAAGGGAAGAAAATGACAAGTTGAGCAGGAGATAAAGAGAGAAAGATGCCTGTTGAAAATGTGCGTACACATTTTCGCTACAGGCATTTTTTTTGTTCTCAGCATAGTCTGATATGTGTGCATCTATGCAATGGGAAGTTAAATGAAGTAATAAGAAAATAAAAATATAACATAGAAGAGCAGAACAGTATATTTTTAAAAGTTATTATATGCAATGGGCACTATATTTGTGCCTAAGAATTCAATATCTTATTAAGTACATTATTTAATATTTTATATAAAATTGATAGAATCATAGATTCATAGAATGGTTTGGGTTGGAAGGTACCTTTAAAGGTCATCTAGTTCCAACCCCCCTGCCATGGGCAGGGACACATCCCACTAGACCAGGTTGCTCAAAGCCCCATCCAACCTGGTGGTGAACACTTCCAGGGATGGGACATCCACAGCCTCTCTGGGCAACCTGTTCCAGTGCCTCACCACCCTCACAGTGAAGAACTTCTTCCTTACACCTAATCTAAATCTACCCTCTTTCAGTTTAAAGCCATATACCCCTTGCCTTTTCACTACATGCCCTTGTGAAAAGTCCCTCTCCAGCCCTCTTTAGGTACTGGCAGGCTGCTATAAAGTGTCCCTGGAGCCTTCTCTTCTCCAGGCTGAACATCCCCAACTCTCTCAGCTTGTCTTCATCAGAGAGGTTCTCCAGCCCTCTGATCATCTTCATGGCCCTGTTCTGGACTCGCTCCAACAGGTCCATGTCCTTCTTCTGTTGAGGGCCCCAGAGCTGAACGCACTACTCAGGTGGGATCTCACGAGAGCGGAGTTGTTGTGGTTTAACCCCAGCCAGCAACTAAGCACCATGCAGCTGCTTGCTCACCTCCCCCTCCCCCGGCCCCAGTGGGACAGGGAGGACAATCGAGAGAAAAAAAGAAAAAAAAAAGAAATAAAACTCAAGAAAAACAGGTGATGCACAATGCAATTGCTCATCACCTGCTGACCGATGCCCAGACAGTCCCCAAGCACCGATCGGCCCCTCCCGGCCAACTCCCCCCAGTTTATACATGGAGCATGACATCCTATGCTATGGAATATCCCTTTGGCTAGTTCGGGTTAGCTGTCCTGGCCATGCTCCTTCCCAGTTTCTTGTGCACCTCCTCACTGGCAGAGCATGGGAAACTGAAAAATCCTTGACTTAGGATAAGCACTACTTGGCAACAACCAAAACATTAGTGTGTTATCAACATTATTATCATAGTAAATCCAAAATATAGCACTGTACCAGCTACTAGGAAGAAAATTAACTCTGTCCCAGCCAAAACCAGGACAGGAGTAGAAGGGAAAAATCACCTCCCTCGACCTGCTGGTCACACTTCTTTTGATGCAGCCCAGGATATGGTTCGCTTTCTGGGCTGGAAAGGCACATTGCAGGGTCATGGTGAGCTTCTCATCAACCAACACCCCCAAGTCCTTCTCCGCAGGGCTGCTCTCAATCCACTCATTGCCCAGCCTGTATTTGTGCTTGGGATTGCCCTGACCTATGTGCAGGACCTTGCACTTGGTCTTGTTGAACTTCATGAGGTTTGCATGGGCCTACCTCTCAGGGTCCCTCTGGATGGCATCCCTTCCCTCCAGTGTGTTGACCACACCACACAATTTGGTGTTGTCAGGAAACTTGCTGAGGGTGCACTCAATCCCACTGTCCATGTAGCCAACAAAGATGTTAAACAGCACCAGTCCCAATACCACCCCCGAGGAACACCACTCATCACTGGTCTCCATTCAGACATCGAGCTGTTGACCGCAACTCTTTGAGTGCGACCATCCTGCCAATTCCTTATCCACCGAGTGGTCCATCCATCAAATCCATGTCTCTCCAATTTAGAAACAAGAATGTTGTGTGGGACAGTGTCAAATGCTTTTCACAAGTCCAGGTAGATGACATCAGTTGCTCTTCCTTTATCCACCAACACTGTAACCCTGTTGTAAAAGGCCACCAAATTTGTCAGGCATGATTTTCACTTAGTGAAGCCATGTTGGCTGTCACCAGTCACCTCCTTATTTTCCATGTGCCTTAGCATAGTTTCCAGGAGGATGTGCTCCATGATCTTGCCGGGCACAGAGGTGAGACTGACTGGCTTGTAGTTCCCTGCGTCTTCCTTTTTTCCCAGCCTTCTCACCACCTCCTCTAGCTCAACCACCTGCTGCAGGAGGTCCTCCACCTGGGCACACCTTTTGCAGGCAGCTCTGCTGCCTGTCCCTGCCCCAGGACAAAGGTCTTGGCCCTTCCTGGGGTCTGAGGTCCGCGCTGCAGCCTCTCCTTTCAGCAGCTCCGTCTGGGTGGAGGCATCGCCCACCGCTGGGGTAGCAGGTGCAGACCCCCCCACCGGAGCCGCAGCCTGTGCCCTCAGATGAGTGCCCACCGTTCTGCCTTGAGGCTTAGGTAGGGGGAGCGCCCTCGGCCTGCGCAGATGGTGACAGAAGGGTGGCTGGGTTCTGTGCACCTCAAGCCTCTCCGCTCGGGCAGTGGAATGCCCCTCCTTCGAAGAGGCGCCCTCCCGCGCCACACTCTGCGTGCCCGCTCTGGTCGCCGGTGCTTCCGCAGGCTGCCCTTGGTGGGAGCAGGGCTGGGCGCCATTACGCCTGGCCCTGCCCACGCCTCCTCAGCCACTCTCCCTCCGGAGAGCTGCTGGCTTCTGGCGGGCTTCCGCACGCCCCTGGAGCTTCCGCGCTCCCCTGAGGTTCTGCGGCTGCGGATCCCCCTATGCCCCCTTAAGCCCCAGTGGTCCACTTCGCTGCGGAACGTGCCTGAGGCGGAGCTGATCGCCTTGGTGATCTTTACGTTTGTGATCATGGACATCTAGTTTTGTTTTTTGGTAATATTCCTTGAGTATTTCATTAAAATACCTGTTTTATTAACATTTAATAAGGGAAGGAGGACATGCTGTAAACTTCAACTATGAATTTGACTCTGGAATTTTTTAATACAAAATCTTTGCTTCCTGTAATGAACTTCTATTTGTTACGTGCGTCCTTCCCTCCTAAAGAATTCACATATTTAGCAAAATATTACTTAGAGAAGTAATATTACATGATGTTTTCATAGATTTTGAAAGGACTGAGTTGTGTGTGAGCCTTTTGTAGAAAAAAGTATTGCATAGTCACTGACAGTATAGTAATACTAATATTTTATTTTCATTTTTTTAGTTATAAAGAATGTTCTGTGCCTAAATCCTTCCTATTTGAAGATCATCTCAATCATATACTTGAAACAAAGTAATTACTAATATGAATTATTTCTCCCATCCCTTTTCTTTGTATTTTAACTTGCCAAAGATGGTGAATGAATTGCTAGTCTTGTTAACATTGCTGTCTGTACTCACTTCGACTTAAAGATTTTGTACCTATTAGCTCATGCCAGAAAATAACTGGTGCGCTTATTTTGTCAGCCTTCAAGCTTCAGTTATTATTAGATCTTCTTAAATATAAAGCATGAAATAACAATATGTTTTTAATGTGTAAATTATTCCATTGTATGGCAGCTTTCTAACCAGAAGTTTTTGAGTACTGGTGACTTGGTTAAAAAACATAATAGTCTTAAAAGTGGTGAGTTCTAGAAATGGTAGTTTTTCTTCTACATTACTAAACTTTATTGGAGTCATTCAGTTTTTAGAGAGTTCTACTAACAAAAGGTAGGAAGAAAATGCTGCTGGTTAGGTCCTCTCAGTATAAATTCCTTGGTCAGCTAACCAATGTAATGCAAACATCCATGATTTTGTAGTAAACATACAGAAACAAGAAAAATATTTTTATAAGGTGTTGAAAATGTAAACTACTTTAATTCATTTTAACAGAAAAGCCACGGGAAGCTTGTTTTGATCCTGGAAACATCATGAATGGGACAAGAATTGGAACAGACTTTAAGCTTGGTTCAACTATTACTTACCAGTGTGATTCTGGATATAAGATTATCGATCCTTCAACTATAACTTGTGTAATTGGTGCAGATGGAAAGCCAGCATGGAACAGAGCATTGCCTTCTTGTAATGGTATGTACCGTTTTCTTACCATTTCCCTTGTCCCCCCAGTGAATTCAGAGTTTCTCAGTCCCTGAGGCTATAGTATTTCTACGCATATAACTTGTAATAAAAATATTGAAGTTAAAAAATAAAAATTATGATGATATGAGTTTTGGACTATAGCTTAGCCACTAATGTCTTTAAATTCTGAAATCAACACATATTGTTATGTTCATAATAATGATTACAATGTAATATGTAAGTTTCCATGGTTTCCCCTTTACATCAGTTTTAGTGGAAGGCTTTGTAATCTGTATGAGAATCATATAAAATAGACTAAATAATAATTATGAAGGATTACTGGCCTATCTGTTTTTTCTTTTTATTCTCCTTGTATTGTCTCTTGCCAGTTTATTGTTTCTTAGACTGCAAGTAGAGGGTAGTCCTTTCAACAGAATGGAGCTTCAATATATGACTGATTTGTAATAATAGGGATTTATCTGTGCTCCCACATAGTCTCAAGATGTATTGTTTTCATGTATTACCTTCCCAGTGATAGTAATTTAGAACTGCATTTTAAAAGGATATAACAACTTAAACTATGCAAATACTATTTGAATTGTGCTCAGAGTAAGGAGTGGGGCTGGAAATAGGTTAAGTTGTTAGATCTAAGTTGTTAGACTATTTCCAGGCATGATTTTGATCCAGACCTTATAACACTCTTTAAAATTTCTTTGTCACAGTGCAGGAGTAAGCATGGGACAGAGGCAGTTCTTGGTAGGCCACCCACATTTATTTCTGAAAGTGAGAGTAGTAGTACTAGTACTATTACAGGTATTTGCTGTGGCAAATCATGCTGTTTGGTGTCAAGGCCAAAGAATAGGTTCTTGTAGTGTTTAGTGTCCAATGTAGCCGTAGCCTAAGTCTATGTCTATACTCCTAAAGAAAAAAGGCATGGGAAGCTGATACAGTGGGTTGCTGATTATCCATACTGCTTAATTGCTATTTCTCTGTATGACTTCAGCTATGAAAACATCACTCTACTAGACTTCAGTACAAGTCTCACATTATTTCAGGCACTTCGGATTGTAATCCCTGTCCTGACACACACACAAAACCACACAAAATAAGAATCATAGACTCCTTTAGGTTGGAAAAGACCCTTAAGTTCATCGATTCCAACCATTAACTTAACACTGCCAAGTCCACCACTAAACCATGTCCCGAAGTGCCACATCTACACGTCTTTTAAATACCTCCAGGGATGGTGACTCAACCACTTCCCTGGGCGGCCTGTTCCAATGCTTGACAGCCATTTCAGTGAAGAAATTTTTCCTAATATCCAATCTAAACCTCACCTGGTGCAACTTGAGGCCGTTTCATCTCATCCTATCACTTGTAACTTGGGAGAAGAGACTGACACCCACCTCACTACGACCTCCTTTCAGATAGTTGTAGAGAGCGATAAGGTCTCCCCTCAGCCTCCTTTTCTCCAGGCTAAACAACCCCAGTTCCCTCAGCTGTTCCCCATAATACTTGTTCTCCAGACCTTTCACCATCTTCGTTGCCCTTCTTTGGACTTGCTGCAGCACCTCAATGTCTTTCTTGTAGCGAGGAGCCCAAAAGTGAATACAGTATTTGAGGTGTGGTCTCATCAGTGCAAATATATACCCGTACATACACACACAGAGGCACACATACACATTTTTATTTTTTCATATATATATATATACACACATGCACACATACATATGCACACATATGTATATATCTTTTAAACTCCTCTTTTCAGAGGTGGGCAAAATATCCACAGAATTATAGGTTATGCCAATTTAAAGAAGGGTATGGAGATTGTAGAACTACTCTGTGAAGAAAACCAGTCATTTACTAATGAAACAGAGAACCCAGAATAATTCAAAAGTATGCATCGTTTATTTCCAAGCCTTTCAGATTAGAGCAACAGGTCAATAGCTGCATGCTAAATAGATTTTCCCACAAAAAGTGAAATTACTCTAGACACATTTCTATTATTAATAACATTACTGTTATATACCTATCATTATTATATATGCTTATTTTTGTATGCACCTGTTATTATTATTGTTGTTGTTTTGTTGTCATTTTTATTATTATTAGTTTGAATCACAGGGTATTAAAGTATCAATTTGTGTAGATTTTAATTTAACACCTGCAAGCGTGGCCCTGAGAGCACAGATGGATCTTAATTGCCCTGACCAGCTTCAGCTGGGATCTCCACTTACAGCCCCAGTCCAAAGGCCCAGGAGTTCTATTTAAACTCAGCCCCGTAGCCCTTCACTCCCTGTCTGAATTATGTTATATGTACTAGTTTAAAGTTCTCTTTCTGACCCTGCCTCCTGGATGGTCCTCAACCTACACTGTAGTTAGCTATCTCCTGGATGGACCCCTGTACATATTATCACTGAAGTTGGAAGGGACCTTTGGAGATCACCTACTCCAACCTCCTTGCTCAAGCAGGGTCACCTAGAAGAGACTGCTTAGGACTGTGTCCAGCTGGGTTTTCAATACCCCCATGGATGGAGACTCCCCAGCCTTTCTGGGCAACCTGTGCCAGTGTTTGACTAGTCTCACAGCAGTAAAGTCTTTTCTTGTGTTTAGAATGGAATGTTATTTTAATTCATGATCATTGCCTCTTGTTCTGTGAGTGGACACTACTAAGAACAGTGGCTCCTCCCTCCTCTTCATTTCCTCCCATCAACTATTTATACACATTAATAAGATCCCACTGAGCCTTCTGTTTCCTACGCTAAACATTTCCTAGCCTCACCAGTGCTGAGTAGAGGGGAAGGATCACCTCCCTTGATGTTTTGGCAAATGATCTTCCTAACACTTGGCTCAAGAGGCTGATGGCCACCTTTGCTGTAAGGGCACATTGCTGGCTCACGTTTGGCATGTTGACCACCATCAACCTAAAAAAAAGAATTAGGATGGATCTTTTTTCCTCAAGGGTTGTTGTTTCAGTACCTTTGTTTATTAAAAGATTTTAAAGAAAAATAGCAAGTGTTTTTTTCCCTCCATATGGTGAATATTTAGAGCACATGGAACAGCAGGATGATTGTTTTGCGTATAAAGAGTGCAGAACACAGCTTTTGCTTTGACATTGCAGTAGCTTAGCTTTAATATCTTATGAAAGTACTTTTGTAGAACAATTATATTTTGCATTATTTAAGAAGTTGTTATAAAACACTGAGTAGTGTAGAAAAAGAAAAATTACCTGTGGTTCACCTTGTAAACTGATATACTTTTCATCTTGTTTTTTGGGCTGTTTGTGTCCTTGACACAAAATTCAAATTTAAAAATCAACATTTATTTTCTTAATTTTTTTTTAAATAGAATGAACATCCTATTTCTTAAGAAATAATTTGCTATAAAAGTACTATCTATTTCTATAACACTTTATAAAATATGAAATAAAAACTTGGGGGAAATGTTCTTCTGAATCCTCTATTTTTTATACCAAGAAATAAAAGTCTAGAACGGACAGACAGAGCTCCTACAACAATACCTGTATTTTAACAAAAAAGATATCAATACCTCACATGGAATTCATTTTGAGGATCATCCAATAGATAATTAAAAATCTAAAATTTTACAGGCGATTATTTTTCAACATAAATCATTCGGTACTTTATTGACAATAACTTAATATATGTAACTTTCTTTTGATTTGTTAAAATTGTTCTATATTTATACAACACGAATGCTGAAACAAGGGATAGAGGATAAATTAGTTAGCCATAGCTCTGAGATGTCATTTTAATTTTCTGCCTCAGTAATTATAATTCTTATTCCAAGGTGACAATTAATGCAGTAGTGGGATGCTTGTGATACCTATTCTAAATAACACTGGGTGTCTAAAGAAGCAGAAATTGCTAACTGAAAGTTTGGGTGTCTTGACACTGTGAAATCTGATTAGAACTAAACTGGAATACATGCTTGTGAAAGTACTTTAAGTCTGTTTATCTAGTACAGATTACTGTGTGTTGTATTTTTAAACACATACTCTTATGGCTTCAGTTAAGGTGTGGAGGTTTTTAAAGTATCATTTACATGGCTGCTACACTTGTGTCTCTAGTATGGAGTAAACTGTACTAGATAAACACATATTTATCTATTTATACTTCTTTGTGGAGTCTTAAATAACTCTTTAATAAAATAGACTCGATTTATGAGAAGGACAAAAGTGTCAAATTGTGGGTTATAATGGAACCACAAATTACTGAGGACTGCATAAGCTCTTTGGATCACTGTAAGTCTTATTTAACCATAGTACTGTAATGATGGCTGTGCCAAAGATCCAAAGGAAGTAAAGAATCCTTCTTTTTGTCACAGGGCACAGTTTTGAGTAAAGTTTTGACACTAATAATTTGAAGCAAAACCAATTATGTGAGTGGAAAATGTAAACAAAATAAATTATTTTATGTTTAAATATAGGTATGAAATACAGATCCATCATATAAAACATATTTATACATAATTGTAAGGGTACGAGTCATATAGGAGGCGAGAACCAAAATGCACTCAGGATCACCTTTGTTGTGACATAAAGCCCTCTTGTAATGTACAGCTTAACCTAATCAAAACTGAAAATATCAAAACAAAAATGCTCATGATGCTCAAGAACAAAAATTTTAGCACAATGTTCTGAGTTTATATTTCTTTATTTGTGCTGACAGTTAATTGCCCATTTTTGAACTTTAAAATATTGTATGAAAAAAATTACAAATTTTGAAGCATGAAAAATGGAAAAGAACTTAAAATAGTGCTGTATAGTAAATCCCAAGACTCTCTGAAAATGATGCACTTAGTTCTTTAAGTCGATTACCCTGATTAAGTGAATTAATTCAACTTTATTTCTTTGTAGTGCATTTTTTATTGGCTTTTTTTTTTTAAGGTAGCATTTTACAGTCAGGCATGATAAAAACAAATTTTGTATTTATCTAGGTAACAGCAACTGCCAGTAGCTGTATTCTGAAACACTAATGAAAGTGTCAGGCATAATGTTATCATTATTTATTTCACAATCCATAATGAAGTTATTAAAATACATCCTCTGAAAATGTAGGTTTTGCTCACTAAAACAAACGTTACTTACAGTCCAAACTGAGGCTCTGTTTAGGACATGTTTGACTGTCACAGCCCTGCACTGAGAAATTTTACAGCCTTAACCTACAAGAGAACTTTTCCTCCATCTTTCTTAGCCCAAGCACTCACAGGCTTTCCTTACAGAGTGGATATACTGCAAAGATGTTATCACAGATATTATCAAGAAATTATCAAAAACATATGTAAAAATAGGAAAACAAATTTTAGAAGGGAACATTTTTACAATTCCATAACTTTGAAATTTGTTTGAAATTAAGCATAAGGGATATACTTTAATTCCAGTGAAATGTTCATGACTTGAGAATTTCATCTGGCAATTAGAAGATAGACTTTGTGGCTTAGTTTCTGGTATCCTCAAAGCAAGAAGAGAAAGAAATATAAAGATTTTAAATTCATGGCATGAACTGATACATTGTGATATTTGAGTTTCACCTCAGCCACATAATCCTGTTCAGCCTACTGATAGATTAAACTTCTCATCTTCTATCATTACATTGGATTTTTGAATAATTCATATAAGCAGCTAAGAGAAGATACAGATTTGTAGTCTTAATTGCTGCCTGTATAAGCAAGTTAAACTTGTAGAGAGATTTCAAGTGTGATTTTACAGCCCAGTCGCTGTAAGGGAGCAGAAAGAGCCGGTCTGCTCCGCAGGGGCAGATGACCCAGGAGCTGAGGATGACCAAAGCCCAGGCTGGACTCTTGCTCACTGGGCACCGTCCTGCAACACATCGGCCGGATCGGCAGAGCCAGGAGCTGGTAACAAGGTCCTTGGGTAGCCCCACAGCAAAGAGCTTGTTGTCCACCTGGACCCCAGGCCCCTCTCCTCAGAGCTACTTTCCAGGCAGTTGTTAAAATGTAATCTGCTGTAAGATTCCCAGAGCGGGGTAACATTGGTTTACTTTGTTCTTTATAGCAGAAAGGGATTCTTTAGATTATGCAATGATCTTTTCCTTGCTTAAAAGTGTTTTTTAATAATTTAATGTATCTATTTTTAATTCTATTTTTTCATAATTTATTGTATCTATTTATTTTTAAAATAATTTCATTATTGGCTTCTTGGGTAAAATAACATTGTACAACAATCTTTTATTCTTGTAAGATCTATAGGTTTTAGTAGTGTTTGATGAAATAATTCGATCAAAAAAAAAGAGCACTGGATTGCATATAAGTAATGTCATTATTATAAGACTTATATTTTAATAAAGATTTTGATAGGCAGCCAAGCCTTTCCATTATTTCTCAAAAGCTGAGAAAAGTGACAGCAATACTTTGTTTTCAATGTATACAAATGTATTTACTCAATATCCAACACAAGGAGATATTTTAACTTAAAAATAGTCACTCCTTATGTTTGCTGTTTCTCCAAAAGCACATATCCCTTTCATCCACTCCCTGCCTTGGCTTTTCCTGAGAAATCCTTGAGACACAGACCTCCTGTGATGTAACGCTTTCAGTTATAGTTGGTAAATCCATCAGTCCCTTAGCATGCCACATTTATTGCCCATACATGGAAGGAACACACCACACATGCATTTTTCATTTTTTTTTTTTCTCATGATATGGGCAGAACTGCTATTTACATAATGCCTGACTAGTCTTGAAGGCTGGGGCTCCACTGTCTTTAAATATCCCTTCTAACTCCTGTAGCTGTAAAGAGTTTCTCTTATTCTTTCTGTTCTATTTTATACACATAGGAATCTGAAGAGTTTTTTATATGTATGATCTATATGCTCTTTTGATAATCATGTAGGAAGTTGTGAAAAGCAAGACAATTTAAGCATCCATTCACAAAGCAGAATCCATGGCATTCTGTGCAGGGTACGATGAGCATATTTATGTATTCCTCTGAGACCCAAGATAGCTGTGTTGTGTCATTTATTTATGCAGTACCTTATTTTTTTCCTGAGCCTTTTTTTTTACATGGATACATAGATAGATAGATATAGACGTATATTCAAATCAAAACCAACAACCTAAATTCTATGTTTACAGTTTCCTTCAACTAAATAATTTATACTTCCAGTCCTATAGGAATACTTGTAGTCAAGTGAAACTCTCATGTATTCTAATTTTAAAGAAATTTTAATTAAAAATTATATCCTGAGAAAGAACTAATTGATATGTCATTATAGGAAGACCAAACAAAAGCAAAAACCACTAAACTGTCACTTTGTAATCTTTAGGTTTTCATTTTCAGACTGAACTAATACAGGCAACTGTAATTAATGTAACACATTTCTTTCTGTTTTGTTTCCAGCACCATGTGGAGGGCAGTATACTGGATCAGAGGGAGTGGTTTTATCACCAAGTTATCCTCATAATTACACTGCTGGACAGACTTGCCATTATTCAATAACTGTACCTAAAGAATTTGGTAAGAATTTCTTCTACTGATTTATCAATCATTAATGATTATTCTACTGTTCAAATGTCCTTCATGTGTAATAGTGACCTTAGATTTTCTGTGTATTGCAAATTGCTTATCAAAAATAAATGTATTCTTGACATGGAAATTGATTCTAGGGTTTTGACCTTTTACTTCTCCCTAGAGTAATCAATAGACTTCAGCTAAGCCACCTGTGTCTGCTCTCCAAGCATATCCTGAATACTTTCATTGATTACTTCATTCATCATCATAGGATAATCATTCATTCAAGCTTCCTGTAAAGTAAAATCAGTTGTCAAAAAACAAGCGTCATGCGTTCTCCTATACTTTAACTTTTTGGTTTGCATTTTTTAACAAGGGCTGGATGAGCAGGATCACATTTAACAAGTACAGTGGAGGGAAAGAAAGCAGTTTCACATAAAAGTACCAGAAATGTTTGTGAAAAGTCACAAAACTGATTATTTCAATGTGTCAAAATACTTGGACAAAATCTCTAAAACTTGTGCAATTGTATGCAGGGCATGGTTTTCTGCAAAGCAGGTTTCTCTAATTCAAGTCCAGACAAATAGCAGTAAGGTCCATTTTACTACTTACGTACTAAAAGACTGAATGCATAGCAACTTAGTGTGTTTGGTACTTTCTGTATGCAACGAAACCTGTAAGGACTCAGCATTTTTTCACTGAGGAATTTGGAAAGCTGCTGACAGAGATTTACAGGTTGAGAGCTTGGGAAAAGTTTATTACACCTGCTAATAGTAATTCATTATGTCATTCTAGTACTGAACTCTTGATTACTAGTCATTATTATTATTATTATCATTATTATTATTATTATTATTTGAGACAAGCTCAATGTTTTTGTTCACAATTTTTGTTCACGGCTTTGTAGTAAGAAAATCATTAATTCCATTTTCATCATGTTTTAGAAAGTTTGTTCTTAAATTTCAGAAGCATTTCTTCAGAAAAAAAAATACATTTGCACAGTAGATACTTGCAATAACCATGGTTAAATAATTACCAAATAAAATATATTTTAATTAGTTATTATCCTATTTAAAAAAAACACAATATGTATCATATAAAAGTTATTCATAAATGTTTTAAGGGTGGGAGTAACACAAATCCTTGAGATTCATACTACAGGAAAGTTTAAAAGTACTCTGTATTCTTTTATTATAGTTTTCACTTTTCTACAAGAGAAAGTGAGATTTGATAGGATATAATTCTTTTTCCTGCTAGAATTGCATAGAATGCAAGAAAATAACCAGTAGAACAAGAAAGTAGCTGTGACTTATAGAAAGGATCTGTCAAAACATTCCGAGTCATTAGATCCCCAAGGCAGTAGTTACAGTGAAATGCTATTGGAGCTTTAGAGACTCACATATTTATCCAGTTAGAGGCTTTATTACACAATATTTTTACTAGAATTCCTGATAGAGAACATGCAAAATGTCTCTAGGCCCATATCAGTAGTTGTGAAGTTCTTTAACATGTTAATAAATAATGCTCAAAATTTTATATTTTACCATATGCTGATGAAAAATTATACAACCTTTTCACCAGCCATCTAAACAAATAAATATTTTTATTCTTATTTGTTAGAAATTGGCACAAGCAGAATCTATAGCTAACATTTACAATGCTTGGCAAGTACCTGACAAAATAATTTCTCTGTACTGGATCTCATGATGGTCCTGATTTGAAGAGGGCCTGACAGAAAAGTTACTTGAATGTACTGGCCATAGACACAACTTAAAACCAATCCTTTTTCATTCGTGATACAAATTTTCTTTTTAAAGTTTTATTTTTAGCAGTTCTAATAGGTTTGGGGATTGAAGAACGTTGCAGTAACTTTACTTCTAGTTGACAATAGTTTGCACAAAGGGTGCCTGTGCGGCAATGAAGACTAACTGCACACTGGGCTGCGTTAGCAAGGACATGGCCTGCAAGTTGAGAGAAGGCACACTTTCCCTCTTCGTAGCCTTCATGAAGTAGCATCTGGAAACTATGTCTATAGTTTTGTGCTTCCAGATTACAAGGCACAGATTGCCAAAATAGAGCAAGCCCAACAGAGAGCCAGCAAGATGACTAGGAGGCTGAAGCACAGTACAAGGAAAAGTTGAAGGAAGTTCAGCCTGGAGAATAGAAGTGCAGGAGGACCCTTCCTTCTGGAAGTACGCAGTAAGAGAACAAATAGCTGTAGTCACAAGTTGTAGCACAAAAAATTCCAGGTGGACATAAGGAAAACATTTTTCACCATGACAGCAATTAAGTACAGGTAGCTTGAAGAAGAATTTTTGCCAGTTTTCAAAATTTGCTCAGAAATAGACCTGAGCAATCTAATTTAACTTCAAAGTTAGCCCTGCTTTTCAAAATCAGGAGGTTGGACTACGCAATTTGCTTAAAAAAAAAAAGTTTAAAAAATTAAGAACTTTACAAAAAGTTGGAAAATACAATCTGTACAGAAATTGTGCTGCGTTGAATACCTGTGGTTTGTATACAGAATCTGGAATAGGTATAATTTTAAAACAGATTCCTCCCTTGTCAATAAAATATGGGTGGCTGGAGTGACAAAGTAATATTTTTATTGACTTGATTTTACTGATCTATTACTTCATGTTTCTACTGCTTTCTGATATTTGAATTCAGTGAACCATTTGATATTTACTAGTGCAATGTGTTGTACAATTAAATCATTTATTTGTTAATACACTTTAAATTACTTACAGCTGAAGTGCAATTAAGTGTAGCAATATGTCAAAACCAGTAACACATCGATATTTTTAGTATTTTATCAGGTTTTATATTCTTTCTGATAAAATAAGTACTAATACAAAGTTACAAAAATAGCCAAATCAATAAGTTTAAAACCTCTTCCTAAGATTAAACCTGGGTGAGCAACTAATCATATGTGACTATAGATTCTCCTTAATAGCTGCTAAGGTTGGTAATGAAATTTTGGTTAAAAAACTTTCCTTTTTAGATATTCCGTTTTCTTATTCTCATAGGTATGTATGCAATAAGGAACAAGACTTGTTTGACTGGAGAGCACACTTTTGGGGAAAGAGTGATTTTATTTTTTTTTTAATTAAAATTAAGGAAATAATGAAAAGCACATAAGATTCTTATTACTTATGTTTAATGCAGCTGTTTTGTCATGGTAGACAATAAACTAACTTGGAAAGGATTCATGCAAGAATCCACTGGTAACCAAGACAAGCAAAAATACCTCATTAAATTTGTTTTTAAAGACTAAGTTCTTGCTTTATCTTCTCTCTTTTTTTTTTTTCTTTTTTCTTTAATGTAGTTGTGTTTGGACAATTTGCCTATTTTCAGACAGCTTTGAATGATGTGGCAGAATTATTTGATGGAGAAAACTCTCAGGCTAGACTTCTTAGTTCACTGTCTGGATCCCACTCAGGTAAGTAATAAAGATAAGAAGTATACATTTCTTGCATGGCTCAGTATGGAAAAAATAAATCAGGAGAATGTTACAAATTTCATTTGGAAATATAGTAATAAAGTCATTAGAACAGGATGCCAAGGGAAATGGAAGACACTTCTAAATCTCTGAATCAAGACATATGATTTAGGCAAGAACTGATTACTAGAATGAGTGAAGAAATAATTGAATGACATTCTCAGATCTTTATGTAAGAGGGCACATTGGATCGTATAATTATCTTCTCTGCCCCTAAACTCTGTCAATTACACATCTACATTTTCTGAACGTCTAATTTAAACACAAATTACTTGTATTCACAAGATGCAATTATCTGTATGCAAACATGCACTTAGATTAAAGCAGGCCGGCTGTTGCATTCAGGTAACTATAGCAAAATGGTGACCCTATGAAATCATAACTAAACTTACATGGATTTCAGCATGGCCAGAGTTTCCAATGTATGCATATATAATGGCTATGTTTATCTCAAGTGGATAATATATAAATATATTTCTGCAGCTAGAAATGTGTTTTGTCATACACTCCTAGTATTTAGGAGAGTTTATATGTGAGTTTAAGATTTCTTGCAATCCATGACTTTTCATGACTTCTTGGTTTTCACTTTGAATAATTGCAGAAATACTTGATATTAAAAGAATGTAACATATCTATTTGATTTATAGAAAACATTTTATTATTTGAAAAATTCAGCTCATCATTTCCCTCTGGTGAATCCTAGCTATTTGTGTCATAATAAGAGTTCACAGATTCATTTTAAAATTTGTTTAATTACTGGCAAGAGTTCAGCAACAAAACAAAACGTTTGCTTTTTAATGTTTAAATTTAAGAGACAACTCATTTAAGCACCCAATTATACTGCATCAAACATACAAAAAAGTTTCCACTAATGTCTGTTTTCACAGCAGACATTTGAAAATAATTGCAGGGAATTTAAACTTGTGATTTTTATTTATTACTTGTGACATATTTGCTTTGCATTAGTTTAGGATGGAGTTCTGTTATGTGGAATTACTAGTTACAATAATACAAAACTGATCTAAGTGAAAGAATTATAAATCCTATTTATCCAGTTATCTAAGATATTTTAAATTAGTGCATTATCATTCATTTCAGTAGAATTTCCTAAAATATGGGTTGATATAATCCCGTGAGAATAAATATGGAGTGGCATCCTTGCAGTGTAAAAGTACTGTAATTTTGTCTGTACTGATTCGTTACTGAACTTTTATCATGACTGTAGATAGATATCTCAGGAAAGGAGATAAAGTGTATTAAACATCTTTAGTAATCCTCAAGTCAATATATAAAATCTGAAATGCTATTAGAAAGTTAATAATGTAATATAATTCATGTGTGACCGTATATTTTATTGAAGCAACTACATAAAACGAGTCATGGATCTGCTCTCTCTCATTTCCGTTTTAGTTTTGAAATGGTAAACATCACATGAAGATCCCCTGTGGCATTTTTCAAATACTTTTAATTGTTTAATGTGTTTTGCAAGGCAAGGTAAAGCTCTCAATCACAGACAAAAGTTAACCAAAAATTCTTCTAATGATTTTGGCCCCAGATGGCAGTAGGGTTCCCCAGACAAGTAGTTTATTGGAGCTCTAGTTCCAACAGCTGCAGTAAATGTCAGAAAGTTTATGTTGTTGAATCATGAAGTCTTTTTATTCTGACAAGTTTTCAAACCTCCAATGGCAAATTTAATTTTATACACTGTTATTTACGTGTTCTTTAACTATAGAGGAAAACATAAAACTATGTATTTTAACAGTATATTTGATCACATACTGAAGAGCTGTAACTGTTGTTTCTGTTTTGCGTACTTAATTTATTTTCTGTTTTCATTTGTAGGAGAGACATTGCCTTTGGCTACATCTAATCAAATTCTTCTGCGATTCAGTGCTAAGAGTGGGGCATCAGCCAGGGGGTTCCACTTTGTTTACCAAGGTAAACATGTCTGCTTCTGGTGGAAGACACTAGTGCCAGTCTCACACAGTGTATTATTTTGAATTCTTCTTAGGTCTGAAAGTATTTCTTTAAATAGGGGTGTAGTCTTAACCTTTTTCCAGCCATCAGGGACTACTTCTGATGGTAGACTGGCTTCATAATGGCAGTTGTCTCCGGTGAATTCTGTCTGGCCCCATGGACTTGAATATGTCCAGCCTCTCTCAGTAGTTTGTAATCTGTTGCTTCCTTACTGCTGAGTGTTCATGTCCTCCTCAGACTGTAGAAGTACACAGTGAGGATTGTGAAGGCAAAGCAAAAAAGGCATTTAATACTTAAAAATTTTCCGCATCATTTGTCATTAGGTTGTCCACACTTTCCCCCACCGGCAATTCATCAACATACCCATGCTTGTATCAACATGCATCAACATATATTTTGAACCTCCCTTTGTAATTAGTGTAATCTCTATACTCTTTTTTCCTAATGTCCCTTGCTGTTTTTTGCTACAGCTGGACTTGAACTTTCCTACTTTTTGTTTCTAAGTAGCTGAGCAATGCTGTCATACTCCTGATTTATTACCTGTCCTTGCCTCCACTTGTGGTGTGTCCCCTTTTCGTGTTTAAATTGTTTGAAAAGCTCCTGGTCTAGGCTTGCAGGCTTTCTGCCCAAATTCCCAGTCTTCCCTTACAATGGGATAATTTATTCCAAGGCTCTCAAATCTGTCTAAAAAAATTCATCAGTATCCTTCCCCTTCATGCCTGTTCCTTAGGACAGTCTATGTACCAACTTCATGAATATGCCAAAGTCTGGTCACCTTAATTTGAACCTTCTGCTGGTTCCTCAACTTCATCATCTTGTGGTCCTTGCACCCCAAGCTGGCTTCTGTATCCACATGCACAAACAGCATTTCTATGTTTGTGAGCAGCTGGCCAGGTTGTAGCTACTTAATTTAATTATCTGATAGAAATATCTATTAAATCTAGCCAGTATTTTGCTTGACTAAAATGAGTAGGGACAATACTATAAGACTTGTTTTCTGAACATAGTGACTGACTATTATATTCGGTTTTAAGCAAAAGGAGATCTACATCTTTATTTTGTATTGAGTTGGATGTAAGTTGCTAGACTCCTGTGGACCAGAGGAGGCACATATTTGATTCCTGTTAAAAGCCAGATTTCCCTGAGATGAAAGTGAAAACATGCCACTGGGTAGCATTTGAAACGGGCACTGGAAATCCACCCAGAATTGCTAGCTGCATTTTGGAATTCACTAAATCAGTAAAAATAAAACCAATAGATCTGTTACACAATATCAACATTCCAACAATTTCTGATTTATATTCGGGCACTATAATGACACAGAAAATAGGTCTTGTGGTACTAGTGAAGAAATGTCCAGTTACCTGAGACAGATATTAAAAAAAAAGTGAAAGATTTTGTACTTTTATACCTAATAGTATACTTAACATTTATTTTATGCTTAATTTTTGCCCCATCCAATTACAGCTGCAGTATGAAATAGTGATCATTTTCTAACAAAAACAATAGAAAAATTTATTTTGGGATTTGTTCTATATGGACAGTTATTGACTTAATGAGTGAGTACAGCATAAGAACTTGTTATGACAATCTTTGTTACATTCACCTGAAGTCTATCTCTAGAAGCACTGTTCATTTCAGCTTTCTCAAGACATAAAGAAAAGAAAAATAAAATATTTTCAAGTACTTATGAAAATCTCAGTTCTGGATATGTACAGGCAGCATAATGTTGTTGCAACCATATAGCTGTGCTGCAATGTGTTTTTCCCACCTATAGTTTCAGAGTTAGTTTGACTGAAGTTAGCTTAGATCCTGCATCACACGCTATTCCTCAGTGTAATACTATAGAGGGTAAAAGTGCCAAAGACACTTTCAAGCTTACCTCATGAATATCTGTAGCTCAGCTCAAGGTTTTGGAGAGTTTGCTTAATTGTATTAGTATTGTTCAGTACTCCCAGTTGATGTTTCAAGAGTTTTCATTCAGGCTGCTAAGAAATTCTGTCTTCTTGGAGAGCTTGGAGGGAAAATTGGTATGGCAGAGTCCACGAGGCAGTTTCAGTGTTGAAGGGTGGGTGGCAGATGTAAGACTTGCAGGTCTCTTCCTGACACAACTGAATTTGAGGAGGTATTATGGGCATGTCTGCACGCTGCAGTTGAAATGCAAGAATGCGACAGCGTGCCCAAGTCTGTTAGCGTGCTGCTGGCAGCTTAGTACACTAAGTTGATCCATGTGTCTTAGAGAATGCAGTCTGGTGACACCTGGAGCAGTGCTTACAGGTTCATCGCCTGTACAGGCAACAAATGCAGTCCCAAAGGGACTTCGGGGCAGTTCACTAGATGTATTGCATACACATCCAATAAGCTTAATGAGACAGTCATTGAACACTGTGGTTTATTGTATACTAGCTTTTCAGCTTTACTAAATTGAAGTGTAAAAGTAGTTTTGGATAGTTTTAAATAATATTATCAAGATTCATTAAAAAAAAAAAATATATTTTTTTTACATTGGAACACAGTCATGGTTTGACACAGCACATCAATGGCAAAAACTGTCTCACCTCAAGAATATTTCCATAGTTGTAAGGAGCTTGTGGGACTGTTCAAACTCCTTCTGGGTGGTGTTTTTAAGCCTTCTTAACTTCTGTGTTTATAGAAATATATCACCATGACTGCACAGTCTGCTTTGGATAAGGCTCAAGATACCAGTACCTGCCCTTTTTACACATCAAAAGCATCACTTGCATTTAAATTTATCATGCACAATTAATCGGAAAAGAGGGGGAATATAAACTTCTGGAATTAGAAAACAGCTTTCAGCATCTGAGTTCTTATCATCCATTTGCATATGAATGACACCTTTCTATCTTATTCTATTTGGTTTTCATACACCGAAAGTGTTCAGTTAATTTTTGCTGCTTTTAAAGAATTCATAGTGACACAAACGCTCAATTCTCTTAGCTGTATGTGTATATATACATTGCTGTTGAACAGTAAGTCTCCAGGTAAGCACAATGATATGCCTCATTTCAGTCATTTATTTGGACTACACTTGTTTTTCAGTAACTGTAAGAAATAGATTTTAACAAATGAGAAGTGTTCTCTGCAGCAGCAGAAAATGAATCAGGCAAAGCCACTTTATTTGTCCCAGGAGAATCATGAAGCTATTTGAATATGCAGGTTTTTTAATATACTTTAAATACATCTTAAGAGCTTTATTTAATACACACATGGATGTATACATATATTGGTTAATGAGTTAGTGGTATTTAATAAGCTCTATAATTTTGAGATTTTTCTTTCTTCTTTTGAAGCATGTGATCATATTTCCAACAACTGCCTGCTTGCTAGCCTTTTAAATACTCCAGAGGATAACATCCACTCTCACATTGAACACAGTAATCTGGCCTGCAAAGTCAATCATTTTATTTATCGCCCTCTATTCCAGGTTGACCTTCTTCCCTGTTCACTTTTCCACTGGGCTGATTTCAATTTTGTTTCACAGCAGTATGAAACATTTACTAAAAGATGGAGGATAATTACTATAGAAAATGGAATATCTCTGTGATACAGCTTGAGAAGTCTAGGTTGCAGATGCTATAGGCAAAAGCTAGAAGGAAGTCTAGAGGGGAAAAAAAGTTACTGCTTACATTATTTCACATTCTGGTTTGAGCAAGCAACAGATAAGGTTTGTAGCTTTTGATTCAGATTTAATGGCTTTTGCAATGCCACTTTCCAAAAAGCTTCTTTCTAGCTGCATATGTCATCTGTGCCTTCATTTCTTTTTCTCAGATGACCACATTTCCTTGTATTTCATACAATAGTAAAGGGTATCTGTAATATCAGACTGAATGAATATCCAGTCTTTTAGAATATTAGGGTCAGGTATGTTGAAATATGCTAGGAACAGTCATATTTAAGATGGGAATTATATTTTTGGGGGGTTATCTTATGCTTGTTTTCATGCTATGACATCACCTAAGAAACAATAGCATATTCTTTTATATAGCTGAGGCTGCAGCAGTACAGAGTTCTTTCCCTAAAAAAACAAGTAATGACCTTTCTACCACCCAGAAATTTATGGGTTTTTAATGCTTGTCTTCCTCTACTTGCTCTACGATACAAATACATGAATTAGTTTATGAGGTCAAATGAGATTTGAGAGAGGACTATTACAAAAGTTAGCATACTAGGATGAGGAAGGACTGTGGAAGAAAGAGAAAGGGGAACAACAATAAAAGAGGAATGTGACTTTAACCATTAAGTTGATCTAAACTGTGACAAGAATAAGATACATAGCCATAGACTTACTGCTAAGTGTAATTAGAAAGCAGAACTAAGACTGTTAGTATTATTTCCATATGAGTTACCATGACACATTATGTCCTGGTTTGCAACAGGCTTCCTAGAGAGGTGGTCAATGTGCCAAGCCTGTCATTGTTTAAGAAGCATTTGGACAATGCCCTTAACGTGCTTTAACTTGGTCAGTCCTGATTTGGTCAGGCAGTTGGACTAGATGATTGTTGCAGGTCTCTTCCAACAGAAATAGTCCATTGGTGTAGAGGCACTTCAGCTGGGCTGTTGGCTGTGTCACCTTTTAGAGGAACACATTTATTTTCCTAATTTTCAATAGATGTTTGAAACTTTACTGCATTTTGCCATGGATTACTTAAATCTGAATTCCATTTTAAGCAGTATGGAGTGCCTCACTTTGTTATGTCTGGCTTGTATTACATTTATTCTGAAGTTCTTCTTAAAACAGGGAAAAAAAAGCATTAAAAAATGGTGCCTCTTGTAGTGAATGGCATGGCTTATTTAACCTGTGAAGAACTGAGCAAAATGTCAATTTGAACATGTCATTGAGTGTTTCCTGCTGACAACTGAATAATCTGACACAACTCCAGCCATGGATGTTTGTGGCTGCCATGGCTGTTTTACGTACTGGCCGCTCTCGCTAAAATGGTGGCTTTCAGTCTGAAAAGGAGCCACATAGCAGTATTTCTGCTACATGAACTAATTTAAGAGTGTTAGTAAAATGCCCCTACATTTGCTATAATGGCAGAGATAGCTTGCTCACAGAAAAGTAACTTTCATAAGGCAATATTATAATGAAACCAGATGATTTGACACCTTTTGTTGAGAGGTGCTGAAAATGCTAGTTACACAAAAAAATGTTTGGATTACAAATGCATGTATGCAAATTGCCAGATGTGATTACTGACAATTATAGGATATTCTTTAATCTGATTTTTAAAAAAGGTCCTTTACCTTTGCACAGCTGTTGCAGGGGTTCTGCAGATGTGGACTCCAGGTGAGGGTTAGAGAATCTGAGCAAGGTTTTTCTTCTGAAACTTCCTCCCTCTTGGGGAAGTGGGTGAAAAAATAGAGAAAGGTAGTATTCCCATAAAAAGCTGGGCAAGAGTTTCTTCCACACAGTGAATGAAAAATACTGCAGGAGTGATGCTGAAATTTTCAGTCAGGTCATATAGCCTCTTAGAAAGATAGGTAAGGTTTAGACACATGTAAAGCTAAAAGTTTATCTAGCAGGGAGCTGTAGTGGTGACTTGTGTGGGAGGAGGTCATGAGCTACCATGTGCCACTCACAAACAGCTTCCTCTGAAGCTGGTATGAACAACCTCTCACATGCCAAAACTTCCACCAGTCAGAAAAGCATGTAGTGCCTGTTCTCAAAGATGCTTGAGAAAGTGACAACTGCTTTGGGCCAGAGATGCTTCTGGGGATGTGCTGCTGGAGATGCTGCTGGAGGGACTGTTAGAGACACACTCTTGGAAAGAGGCCCTCCATGCCAAAGGGATAGCACTTCCAGAGGGACTGTGGCCTGTCTCTGCAGTGAGAACACCTCAGAGGGGTTGGCGGCCTCTGAAAGACCTATTCTGCAGTAGGGGGACATCTCTGAGCAGCTGCCACCCATGGGTGACCCATGCTGGAGCAGGAACATTAAAAAACAGTGTGACATGAAAACTTGAAGAAGCAAAAAGCTGGAGAGAAAAATGAGTAAAATGCTAAGTACAGCAGAGGAAAAACAAAGAATCAAAAAGAGAGCACATAACCCCAACCTCCTGTGCTGCCTCTCACCTCACTGGTGGAACTAAGATGGACGCAAGGAAGTTGAGACAAGGAAGGGGGAGAATAGGTATTTGACTGAATTTGAGCCTGGGGAGAGGAAAGGAAAGCTGTTTACTTAAGTGGTTATTTGGTTGTTTATGTCCTCTTTCTTCTTAACTTCTGAATAAGTCATCAGAGGTTTGTGTTAATTGGTAATAAATTAAATTAAGCATAATTAAGTATAAATTCCCCAAGTCAAAACTGGTTTGTCCACAACAATGCATTCAACCTTTTGCTGTCATGATTGTGAATGATTTATCTCATGAACAAAAGTCTCATTTAAGCAAGTAGTCCTGACCAAGGGGCGGATTAATGCCTAATCATGTGGCAGAAGCTGTAGTTCTGCCATCACCATGTTGCAGCCGTCATCACCTAGTCAGGTGTAAAGTCATTATACAATTTAAAAAAAAAAAAAAAAGGTTTGAATAAAATAGTGCTTGTACGGTGGACCATTTGTTAGAGAAAAGACTATTAGTCCCAACAAAAGAGAATAAGAAAGAGCAGGCTAGGTCAGTTGAATTGACCTGGCAGACTGCATCTGGTCTGCAGGTTATGATCAGGAAGAACTGTGACTATGTGAAATCCTTGAACTGTGGTTTCTTCATTATCCTTCCACAAGTGCAGGACAATTTCCTGCTGTGGTTAGAACTGTATGCATGAACAAGTTTCACAGAGCAGCTCGGTGATACTGAGGTCCTGTTGAAGACTTAATCACAAAATCCCATTTATTTGAACAAAGGCAGGTATTTTAAACTTACTGAAAGGGAATTGGTTTGTTTATACTATGTAAAGCATTTAACCATTTTAAAAACTTGAAAAATGTGTTTGCTTTTGTTTTGCTGTATTGTGTAGTTATCATTACAGGAGTATGTTAGTTTACCTGTGACAGTTTCTTTCAACCTTCGATACATTTTATAACTTTCTTAAGCTTTAAAGGCTGAAATCTCCTGCAACCATCCAACCTACTGATTTAGAAGAAAATATGTGTTACTGTATCTGTATGACCTTGTCTGACAGATCAACCCACTGCATATTAATAAAAAGAGCATGTATTGTACTGTTATTGCTAGTACTAATTATTTCTAAATCTTTTTTGACAAAGTTTTTCTCTACATTCAATACTTGCATAAACTAACTGTTGTTCTCAGTAGCCATACAGAAAGCGGGTAGAACACAATGTTAATGTAGTCATAAATGAGAACTTCCAATGTTCTGCAAAACTGTGTTGTGTATTTCATGCTAGATTTAAGATAGGATTAAGTTAGTGTATCCAACTTGTCAATAAATGTTAACTTATAGAGCACTTACCAGTACTTTAAAACTGCTGCACTTAAATAATTATGATTCTGATTGAGCAAATGGAAGTATAAGAAATAAGAGAAGTATAAAGCTATCAATATGAAAACAATTATATACAGACTCCACACACCTTGTCTTTTACTTAGTGACCAGGGTAGCTGAACAAATAGGGTGTGTGTCTGCACAGGTATGCACGTGAACAGATGGAAATACTGCTCTTCACCATTACAGGCCAGCAAAGAAAATGTAAGGATGTAAAATAAAATTAAATATAACCTTGATTTTTTTTTACACTAGTCTTAAAATAGGTTAGTAAGCCAGAAACATCATGTTTGAAAAATCTTCCAGGAATAAAGTCTAACCACCACCACTCCCCCTCCCCCCTTGCTTTTTTTTTTTCTGGTGCCATTCTGTGTCTTTGTTAATTAAGGACCAAATGGCAGGCAATTTTCATGGTGTCACTTACACATATCTAGATGCAGTGATCCCCTGAAACTAATTCTTGAAGAAACCAAACTGATCAAACAAAGCTTTTGAATATGCCATTCACACAGAAAAATTGCTTATATTTAAAGAGATTATTTTTAATATACATTTGTTTTATTATAGTGTAAAACATAGATGATACTGCACACAAATTATACTTCCATCATTTTTTCTATAAATATATATATATTTTAAAAAATTTTGGCAAAATGAAATGTAGAAAGAACAAGTTTGATACACAAACAACATGCACAACAGTCAGTAAGTACAAAAAAAAAAGCTTGTTATAAAGAAGTGGTTGTAAATAACAAAGCCAAAGGGAAAATAAACCCATGGGCTTCTAATGAATTTAATTATATTGCTCTTTAAATGTTGCTTACAGTCTTTTAACTGCTCCTGTATCACATCAGGTTTATGAATTCTCAGAAATTATTGGTAAAAATAATTGTTGTCAACCGTAAACACTGAAATAGCCATGAGGGTACACTGTTATTACTTTGCATTCTCCAATATGATAAATCCTATATTTGTGTAACATTATATTGGTTTTATAGCTGGTTATCTACAGCATAATATTTTTCTTGGCATCTAATGAGGAGCCAAAATTTCCATATTTAATAAGTAAAATAGGTGGTATGTATAGTATCCTGTCATTAAAGAGGCCAGCTGAAACATCCACTGATCCTCTCTTGCCTAAGGACGTGCTTCCAAAGTCAATTGCTCTCCAAGCTTCCATGGCACTCACGTGACTGTACATGGTCACAGCCCAAAACCGCAAGCCAGCTAACAGCTGTGAAAGCATTAGGCCATTCTTTGAGAATACAGGAGCAGAGCAAATAAAAGGAACAAATACAATTAAGCTCTGTCCTGCAAGAAACAATGAGCATTTTTAGTGGTCTATTAGATGATGACTGTCATTTGGATTCATGGCATCTTTTTGGTTTTTCTTTCTCTCTTTATACAGCTGTTCCACGCACAAGTGATACGCAGTGTAGCTCAGTTCCAGAGCCTAGGTATGGAAGGAGAATCGGCTCTGAGTTTTCAGCAGGCTCTGTTGTTCGGTTTGAGTGTAGTCCTGGCTATCTGCTACAAGGCTCAAAAGCTATCCGATGTCAGTCTGTACCTAATGCCTTAGCTCAGTGGAATGACACAGTACCAAGCTGTGTAGGTAAGCAATTACATTTAAGTCATCTGTTCTGTCACACATGTCTCTGAATCAGAATTCAGGAACTGTTTCAGAAAATAGTATTTAACACATATTTTCACTCTCCTTCGATTAATATCAGTCATGCCCAATTTAAAAGAGCAGTTTTCCATATCAAAAAGTAATTGAGTACCAGCTGGCTGGTAGGCAGTATAGTGTTTCGTATAATGACTTAGATTATATGAACAAGTGTGATGCACATTTTCTTGAACATTCATTATTTTCATGACTCATCTACAGCTTGAACTACAGGACAGAATTTAATTCTCCAGAAGTTTTATTACATAGTACTTGTTGTATATTTCTATCACACATAGGAAGATGATTTCTTTTTTTCAAGTAGAAGCATAGTGTACGTTGAATAATGATAGCATTGTTAAGTATAGCTAATTTTATTCGGTCTGTCAATAGACCTACAGTGGGATAACGTTTAGCACTTCAGATTTTTTCTTGTAAATGTTGAAAGGTTTTCTTCTCTCCCTCCTTGGGGAGGTGTCCTACTTTCTGTGTATTCTGTTTTTTGTTTAGTTTAGTACTGTTTTCTTGAACCTTAAAGAAGCAATTGCTTATACAGTAAAAATATTTAATGTACTACACTGCTTTACCAGCTAGATCCAATATTGGAACTATCTTAGGCTGTGGGTAAGTTCACATGATTTCTGTCAACCATGATTGTGTTTAATGTTATGTCTTTACAGTTTGTTGTTACTCTCAGGTAAGACATGATTAGGCTGTGCTGCTAGGCTGTTCTAGGCTGCACACACTCAAAATGAAGGTCACTTCTGAATTGTTTATTCATCCAGGTTGTATCTTAAGCTTGATATTGTTCATGTGTTTTGGATAACATTGCTTTCTCAGTTCATATCATTGCTTCATGTCTATGTGTTTATGCTACAAAGGAGAATTATTAGAATTAGCTTAGTAAAATTATTACTACTTTTCTGTTCTCTGAAGAGGTTTAGGTTTTGTAATAATTTATGATAATACTTTCTTTCAGTGCCATGCAGTGGGAATTTTACTGAGCGGAGAGGTACTATTCTTTCACCAGGTTACCCTGAACCTTATGGTAACAGCTTGAATTGTGTGTGGAAAATCATAGTGACTGAGGGATCAGGTATTCAGGCAAGTCTATATTCTGTCAAGCATGAAATATTAACTACTTTGTGGTTCAGTTTAAAAAGTAATTGTTTATATCTCTGGAAGTGTCAGAAAATAGCGATCTTTAGGATCTTTTTTTTTTGGGTACTTGAAATATTTGTGCTTTGTTTTTCTCAGTATTGTTCTTTAGTTAGCTTTATTCTATGTTACTTTATTTTTACATGAAGGAATGAATGCAAAATGGTTAACTAGCAGCTCTCTCTTCTACCTGTGTAGAATATTGAAAGCAGGTCCTGATCCTTCAGTCTGGTATGCAAATACCAAGCCTTTCTATCTGCTAGGATATCAGTGAGACACTTGAGAGGTCTGCAACTGTCTTGATTATCTGCTCATTTACACTTTGAGTGATTATTTATAATCATGCAACATATGTGCAAAATCCTTCTCACTTATCTAGTGTCACGTTTTCTAAAAGTTAAGACAACTTAAAAAGTGAAGGTTAATGTTTTATTTACATTTTTTCACTCAGGTGTTTCTGTTTGGATCTGCTTATTTACATTTTCTTTAGGGCATGTTCTCTTATTTTTTTGCTTCTAGGACATTTAAAAACACATATGGCTAGTTGGTTTAAAAAGTTCTGTGGTGATGTTTTACAGATCCAGGTCATCAGCTTTGCCACTGAACATAATTGGGATTCTCTTGAAATATACGATGGTGGAGATATGACAGCACCACGTCTTGGGAGCTTTTCAGGTGAGGATATTCCATGATTTAAACATACAGTTCTATATATAGGTGTGTGAGAGAACATGTCTTTGCTTGCTCATGCATATAGACAAGGAGTATGTTTGTATTGCATCGTCTGTGATATCATTATGAAACTTTCTCATTTTGGGGAGGAGATTTCAGGTGTTGTAAATGTGCCAATATTCAAATGCAAAGGGAGATTTTAAGAAGAAAATATGATACCAAAATGAAAATGTGTAGCTTTGATTAGTGGGATGTAGGTGATAATACTTTCAAAACAAATTTCTTTCTTTTATCTTACCTACCTGCACCATAGAGAAGATATAGTGATATAAATTAGTACTGACATTCAAGGAGATTCCTTTGATAGCTTTGATTTAGTTTATCCTTGTTAGCCTTCCTTTCTCAGGAAAAAGATGAAGCATTCAGTATTCATCCAAACTCACCAGGCCTCAGAGAACAAAACAAATTACTACAATTGGGACATAACAAACCATGTAATTTGTTGTTTCACGTGTACATCAGGCATATATAGTTTTACTCCTTTTTGTATAAGACAATTTTTATAGAAAGAGCATGTTCTATAAACCAAACCAAGAGAAAAAGATATCTCATATAAGATTAAGTCATGAATAATATCCCAGTCTCATGAACTCTATCACAAGCCTGATCTGATTCTGGTGTAGCTAAAGCATTTTGTGGAATTTCACCTCTCTGGGGACTTCATGAACTTTTAAGTATAGATGTGTATTGGATTATGCAAGGAAATGAATGATCAACTGAAAAAAATTTACTCCATATTATTTGTTTGGATATTGAAGTAAATAACTTGAAGTTGCACCTCAAAATTTACATATTAAACAGTGTTGTGGGTTAATCCTAGTAGGCAGCTCAGCCCCACGCAGCCGCTTGCTCACTCCCACACAGTGGGTGGGGGAGAGAATTAGAAGGGTAAAAGTAAGACAATTCATGGATTGAGATATAATAGGTAAAGCAAAAGCTGCACATGCAAGCAAAGCAAAACAAGGAAATCATTCACTACTTCCCATCAGCAGGCAGATGTTCAGCCATCTCCAGGACAGCAGGGCTCCATCACATATAATGGTTGCTTGGGAGGAGAAATGCCATAACTGCCAATGTCCCCCACCTTCCTCTTTTGTCCCCCAAGTTTATACGCTGAGCATGACACCATAGAATCATAGAATCATTTAGGTTGGAAAAGACCTTCAAGATCATCGAGTTCAACCATCAACCATGCCCACTACACCATGTCCTGAAGTACCCTGTCTACTCGCTTTTTTAATACCTCCAGGGATGGTGACTCAGCCACTTCCTTGGGCAGCCTATTCCAATGTCTGACAGCCCTCTCAGTAAAAAAATTTTTCCTAATATCTAACCTAAATTTCCCTTGCCTCAGCTTGAGGCCATTTCCTCTCATCCTATCTCCAGCCACCTGGCAGAAGAGACCAGCACCCACCTCACTACAACCCCCTTTCAGGTAGTTGTAGAGAGTGATAAGGTCTCCCCTCAGCCTCCTTTTCTCCAGACTAAACAGCCCCAGCTCCCTCAGCCACTCCTCATAAGACTTGTGCTCCAGGCCCCTCACCAACTTGCTTGCCCTTCTCTGGACACGCTCCAGCACCTCCATGTCTTTCCTGTAGTGAGGGGCCCAAAACTGCACACAGTACTTGAGGTGTGGCCTCACCAGTGCCGAGTACAGGGGAACAATAACCTCCCTGCTCCTGCTGGCCACACTATTTCTGATACAGGCCAGGATGCCGTTGGCCTTCTTGGCCACCTGGGCACACTGCTGGCTCATATTCAGCCGGCTGTCAACCAGCACCCCCAGGTCTTTCTCTGCCAGGCAGCTTTCCAGCCACTCTTCCCCAAGCCTGTAGCACTGCATGGGCTTGCCGTGACCAAAGTGCAGGACCCAGCACTTGGCCTTGTTGAACTTCATACGATTGGCCTCAGCCCATCGATCCAGCCTGTCCAGATCCCTCTGTAGAGCCTCCCTACCCTCAAGCAGATCGACCCTGCCTCCCAACTTGGTGTCATCTGCAAACTTGCTGAGGGTGCACTCAATCCCCTCATCCAAATCATCGATAAAGATATTAAACAGAACAGGGCCCAACACCGAGCCCTGAGGAACATCACTTGTGACCCACTGCGAACTGGATTTAACCCCATTCACCACAGCCCTCTGGGCTCGGCCACCCAGCCAGTTTTTCACCCAGTGAAGAGTGCGCTTATCCAAGCCATGAGATGCCCGTTTCTCAAGGAGTATGCCATGAGAGACAGTGTCAAAGGCCTTGCTGAAGTCAAGGAAGATAATATCCACAGCCTTTCCCGCATCCACTAGGTGGGTCACCTGGTCATAGAAGATCAGGCTGGTCAAGCAGGACCTGCCTTTCGTAAACCCATGCTGACTGAGCCTGATCCCCTTCTTATCCTGGACTTGCCATGTGAGTGCTCTCAAGACAAACCGTTCCATAATCTTCCCCGGTACCGAGGTCAGGCTGACAGGCCTGTAGTTCCCCAGATCCTCCCTCCGACCCTTCTTGTAAATGGGAGTCACACTGGCAAGCCTCCAGTCCTCTGGGACCTCCCCCGTTGACCAGGATTGCCAATAGATGATAGAGAGTGGCTTGGCAAGGACCTCTGCCAGTTCCCTCAGTATTCTTGGATGGATCCCATTGGGACCCATAGATTTGTGAGTGTCCAGATGGCGTAGTAGGTCACTAAGTATTTTCTCCTGGATTAAGGGGGGTATGTTCTGCTCTTCATCCTTACCTTCCAGCTCAGGGGGTGGAGTACCCTGAGGATAACTGGTCTCCCTATTAAAGACTGAGGCAAAGAAGGCATTAAGTACCTCGGCCTTTTCCTCATCTCTGGTTGCTACGTTCCCTTCTGTATCCATGAAAGGATAGATATTCTCCATATGGTGTAGGATATCCCTTTGGTCACCTGGGTCCCCTCCCAGCTTCTTGCTCACCCCCGGCCTACTCACTGGTGGGACAGCGTGAGAAACAGAGAAGGCCTTGACTCTGTGTAAGCACTGCTCAGCGGTAACGAAAACATCTCTGTGTTATCAATGCTGTTTTGATCACAAATCCAAAACATGGCACCATGCCAGCTACTGTGAAGAAATTGAACTCTATCCCAGCCAGACCCAGTACAAAAGGATATAACATTTTATATTAAATGCCATTAACTATGCTGTATATTCAATTGGCAATAGGAAGAAAGAAATAATGAAATGTAATCAGCTTTTGACAAGTGAAATATGTGGCAAATATATTGGACCCATTGGATAAAGAACTGATGAAATAATCCATTTAACAATATTCCATTTAACAACACTCAGGACTGAAAATGCTTTCGTATTCTATACTAAAAGTGTGTCATCTTACTTTAGCTTAAATGCCTTCCTAATTTCCAGAGAAACTGAAAAAGGCAGGTTTTTGTATTAGAAATATTTAATTGGAGACAGAGTAGCACAGCTTTATTGTGGATTTCTCTCTTTTGTATAATGAATGTTGGACTTAAAATGAAGAATTGTTTTGTGTATGGGAAGGGTCTAATGAGTAATATTTAAACATGACATGAAATCTGCTGTTCTCAAAACTGAACCAGCAATATGACATTGAAACTGAATTCCAGGCATAAGTTCATAAGTGGTAACGTTCAGAAGGTATCATTTCTCTCTTACTAAATCTTGTACAATACCATTGGCTTCTGCTTCACTCTCTGTGAATTCATCTGTCCTGTAAATATGCATTCAAGAAGAACGTACCTGCAACTAATTACTAACAAGTTACTAAACTGTGCTGCTAAACTATGTCATGGCGTTGAGTTGGAAAGGTGAACTCACTGGAGTCTGTTCCTTAAGGAAAACTTTAAAAGATAGATAATTATACCATTTCTTTTTGTCAGGGCAGAGCGGGGTCAAGCAGCTCCCTGGGTTTGGGGTGCCGGGAGCAATGGGGGCGCCCCATGGAGGGGTGGCAGGGCAGGCCCTGGCAGCCAGGGCCCATCCCACCGCCCCAGCCAGGAGCAGGGCAGCTGGGGGGCACTGGGGCAGCCCCAGTCCCAGGAATTGGGCATCTCCCTGGGGACCAGAACAGGCTGAGGCCAGGCTGGGACACGGGCCTGTGGGTACACCCAGCTCAGCGGGGCCCATGGCCAGGCAGGGCAGGGTCGTGGGGAGCTGGAGACTGGCCCTACTGTGGTGTCACTGGGGCAGGAGCTGACAGCCTGGATGGGGTCCTGGTTCTGGGGCTGAAATGGGGTACGGGGCCGTGGGCAGGGTGGGGGCAGGCCCCAGGGGCTGGGCGGGGCCCATAAGGGCTGTCTGCTAGAGCAATCCGGGCCCTTACATAGTGTCTTGTCCTTTTCGGATTAACCCTATGGGTCATCTTTTATCAGTGAATGGCGGAAATATCAGGGCATTTTTCTTCTTTCTATGCTACAGTAATGCTTGTGAGGATGCTATTTTAGGGGAAAGCGATAGGGGCTTCATGAACAAAGCTATAACAAAAATTCTGAGACCATGTGTTAACAGACATAAAGGTACCTTGTGCTTCTGTCTGCCTGGTGGCAGAATACATGGATTTTTGTACAGCTATCTTGGAAAGAAGCTGCTGTGCATAGGATTGATGTGTTGAATGCCAAGAGGGATTCTCTCCATTGTGCTCTTGTGGCATGCAACAGAATCATGCACCACTTAGTTTCCTGTGCCTAATATTGACAGGTGATGCCTTTTGGTGGGCAGACAGATTCTTTGTAAGGCCAGGTTTTCCAGATGACACTAGACAGTGTCGAGAGACATTCAGAGTAATTGGAAAACTACAAATTATTTTTGCTTTCAATATTACTGGTCCATCAAAGTAATGCTTGTGGATCATGAGGAAATGAAAATAACATTGCCTTTAAAAGACAACCATCAAAATAATTTCTCGGTCTTTTACAACAATTGCTGTACCATTTACAGAATATATGTAGCTATAGCGGATTTTTGATTAATTAATGAAGTTTAGATGCCTTACCAAATGCTTGAATGAAACAGGAACATTAATGAGAGACAGAGCTAATTATTTTCATATTATTACTGATAATTTTGTGATGAGTAGACATGTTTCCAAGTTTACATAATAAAGTTATACCTGGAATATTTTAATAAAATTAAGGGACTGTTTGCACAGATCGAGTCTTAATTCTCTCAGTTGGGAAGGTAACAGTTTTTACAAACAGGATAGAATTGTACTTGCTATATTAAAAAAAAAAAAAGAGAAGCTGTAACTGGCATTGATTTTTCTCCTGCAGAGGAACTATACTTCATTTTTCATTTGGAAAAATGGTTTAATTCCCTGTTTTTCAATAGCCATCCTGCTTTCCAAAAGGAGGTGAATTTATTTTAAAATATGATGTTAAAGAAAAAAAGAGCTTCATTAAATGATGATCAGGTTATAAGCATGTTAAGTTCACCAGGTGAGTGATCTTCCATGATTGTCCTTAACAGCTGTAGTCTCATATTTTCCACTTCCTCAGTCCAATATGGGCATCTTCCTTCCAAGAAAATTTTACTCTTCTAAAGCCTGCATTTGTTATAAGACTACAAAATTGTCAACTGAATTTAGAGATACTCTGTTCTTGTAGCTTAGTAATGGCAGTTCCTACATGAAGCCTGTCCATTAAGCTGAAAATGCAAAAAGATTTGTAAAATTTGGATAACCGTTAGGCATCCCACAAACATTTGTAAATATGCTGTGCTGCCAATTGTGTCACAGAATGGAATTATGAGAGAGTGGAAATTCCTTGGATGAAAGGACAGGAAGGCTTTCATCAATATGCCAAAGTGAAGTCTATCCTGGACTCCTTAGTGAAGGTTATAGACATAGTAGCTGAGTGAGAGGATATTCTTGACAAATGCATTGCATTTTCCTGAGAGTATTAAGTTTGAACTTAAGTGAGAGATCATTTTACTTAATACACTGTGCTGAACAAAAAGGTGGAAACAAGCCAAAAAAGCAGCAGTATTTTAGAACTGATAGTTAGGGACTGGTGCTTCACTTGACTATGGTATATTCAAACTGAAAAAAAATGAGACTAAGTATAGCTACAGCTCCATCTAAAATTGGAAATGCAGATAACACCTGACATTCTTTTACATATGTATATGTACTTAAATACGCATATATATATGTGTATAGACATATACAGAGGGAGTATGCAAATACAGTAGTCATTGAGGTCGACACCTGGAGAATCTACTCTTATGATGGTAGTTAAATTTAGAAAGAAATTAGGTAAGAATGTGATCCACGCTATATGTTTGTGCTAATCCAAGAAATGCCTAAAATGACCATTAATCTCTATTCTTGGTCTAGAAATTTCTTAGATGCCTAGACAGCCTTTCACACATGCAGTGTAGTGTTCACCTCTGGAATGAGATACATTGCTCTTGGTTGTAATTACTAACACTTGAAAGGGATAGTGGACATAATTTTCTACATTAATGCCATAATTAAACATTAATTCAAGTAGAAAACTTGTCATTCCCTTATAAGCCTTTAGGGAGGCAGACATGCACTTACTGCCTCCTAAGAGAGGAGATTTCCACATCACAGATTCTCAATCAAGAGGTTAAGAAGTCAGTCAGACTCCAGCATCCTAACATGGTATCCATCTATATGAGTATTAGATGTCTACCATGGACATACCTGTACCTAAGCTATTATTTATGAAATCTGCTTCTGCCCATTAAGTACTGTTTCTCTCTATTGATGATAAACAAAGTCCAAAACAACTAGGACACTGTGGACAGTACATCTGGTCGCCACACAAAAATGTATCTTCCATGCTTCATATACCCAGTCCCAGAAGAAGCAGATGTTGGTAAGTGATCAATAAAGTTTCAGTTAGATCATAGAATCATAGAATCCTAGAACATCCCAGGTTAGAAGGGGATTCAAAAGATCATCCAGTCCAACCTTTTGTGAGAAAGGGAGCCTAGATGAGAATGTCCAGCACTCTGACCAATCACACCTTGAAAACCTCCAGTGACAGGGACTCACCATGTCACTGTGGAGGTTTTTCCAGTGACTGATTGTTCTCACTGTAAAAAATTTATTTCCAATGTCTAGATGAAACCTCTCCCAGTGCAACTTGGACCTGTTGCCCCTTGTCTGCTCCATGTGGCTCCCTGTGACGAGAGAGCCTCTGTCCTCTTTGCAGCTGCCCCTTAAGTACTGGAATACTTAAAGGTATTGTGTGTGGTATGTGTGATGATGCCCCCCTCTGAGCCTTCTCTTCTCAAGGGAGAAGAGACCTAACTCCTTCACACTTTGATTATCTTTGTGGCCCTCCTCTGCACCAGTTCCAGTCTGTCCATGTCTTTCTTGAATTGTGGGGACCAGAACTGGACACAGTACTCCAGGTGTGGCCTGACAAGTGCTGAGTAGAGTGGGATTATCACATCTCTGTCTCTGCTAGTAATGCCCCTCTGGATGCGGCCCAGGAACCTATTTGCCTTCGTTGCTGCAGCAGTGCACTGCTGATTCATGTTCAGTTTGTTGCCCGCCAGGATCTCCAGGTCCCTTTCAGCAAGGCTGCTCCACACCCACATAGTTCCTAGCCTGTACTGGGCTCTTGGTTATTCTGACCCACATGCAGAACTTTGCACTTGTCTTTGTTAAACTTCATACTGTTCTTGCTAATGCACTCTTTCAGCCTGTCTGGGTCTCTCTCTCTGTAAGATGGCTGACGTGTCAGCCTCACCACCCAGTCTAGTGTCATCAGCAGACTTGGTGAGGGTGCTTTCAATCTCATCATCCAGACCATTTATGAAGATGTTGAAACAGTGTGGGGACTGGTATCGATCCCTGGGGGACCCCACTTGTGACAGGCTGCCAGCCTGAATTATGCCATTGAATGTGGCAGTTATGAGAATTAAAAACTGAAGCCCCAATTGTTTCTCACAGTACAATAGGATGTAATTTCTCATCTTATTGAATATCACCCTCTAAGGAAGTAAAAGACTGGTGTTAAATGTTAGCAGATCCTACAAAGGAACAGAACTGCCAGAAGAGCAATTTTGTTCAATGAAGGGTATCATCATTCTGAGTCAACATCCTCATTCTTACAGAATAGACACCTTAAACATCCTTAAATATATTTCAAATTCTGTATGGATAGTGTGAAAAGTCCTCCCTCCAGGAAGGTGTTTCACAATTTTCTGTATTCCATGGTAAGTATTGTGTGATATGAATGCTCTGTACTGTCTGTGAATTTCCATACTTTGAGCTTCAATGTCAGACAATAAAACCTTCCTTAAAGTCCGACTTCTCATCCTTTAGCTCCTCACTATTTATAACAAGATTTTGCTTAATATAGGTTTAGATTTAAAAGTATTTACCATTTCCTAGTTTAGACTGTAGACTTATGAAGATAATTCTTTCTTTTGAAGCCCGAGTTTCAAGCTCATACCTAGGCTGCTCACAGTTGCTATAGAAACAGCAAATGCCCCTCAGGAGATGAAAGTATTTCTTATGCAACCACAATTGAAGTCCATTAGCTACTTGATACTGTCTTTGAAGGTAATCATAGAAAATGATGTAATTTTTAGCCTCAGTAGATGTTCCAGCTTTAGACTGTAGAATGTGCATTACATAGTAGTCATGTGGTAACAGAGAATGTTGTGTCAGACTTAGCAATGCTAGTGGCAAAGAATGTGTCCAGGGTTGGTGATAAGCTTGTTGTGTAGTGCACACTGAAGTCAACAGCACACGATTTTATTATAGTTATTTGAATTAGATAAAACTTGTTTTTTTTTTTTTTTTTTTTTTTTAATGTGTTGCACCTGCTTCTTCAATTTCTGTCATGCTCTCGGAGTTAGGATGAGTGGTTGAAATATAGTTGTGGGAAGAATGTGTGAAGTGGACACAGAGGAATAATCTGGACTGCTCTGTTCTGTACTGCAGGCTTTTTATACATGTGGAAAAAAGTCACATAGCAGTTGAGTTTGTTCTCATAATCAAATCCTTTACTTATGTGATTTTTTTCTGTGTACGCCTCTTCCTAGCCAAGTCAATGAAGTTTCATCTGAACATGATGGGATCTTGTCTGATTGTAGTTACACAGCCTCTTAGTATCATGACTTGTAATCAAAATTTTCTTGCAGCTTCTGGAGAAAACAAGGCAGAACATAGAATATTTGAGATTTCCACGCACATAATGAGAAGAAAATGAGCCTGTCTGATTCAGTCTTGGTTATGTCTTTTCAATATAAAACTCTGATATATCAACATGCTACAGTTTATTCCATAACTTTTATTTTTCCAGGTACAACTGTGCCAGCATTGTTGAATAGCACTTCCAATCAACTTTACCTGCATTTTCACTCTGACATTAGTGTGGCAGCAGCTGGTTTTCACCTGGAATACAAAAGTAAGACTGCTTGTTTTTTGCAACTTTCTCAGGAAAAAAGAATGCATATGAAAAGAGAGAATTTATATTGTTCTATTTTTTTTTTCTCTTCCCTGACTACCAGAGTGTACTCAGCACGGACCTGATATAAGTGATACCTAGTAAAATGAAATTTTAAATGAAGTGACATTTGAAACTGTTGAAAACCAGCTTTCACAAATTAGCAGCATATAACAAATGAATCTGGCAATTCAGAATGTTGTAAAAATATGGGGTTTAATTGTGTTGTGGGTTTTTTTTTCCACTTATTTAAGCTTAGTTCTGAAATTTAGGTAACAAAAAAAGTAAGAGTTCATTTCACAGATTGGAAATAGATAAAACCAGAACAGATGAGATTTTTTTCCTATTTATACGTGCATATATTTATTCCTTGCTGTTCTTTCCTTTCCTTCGCATTATATTCCCTCAACAAATTGCTGTAATTGCAAAAAAAACCATTATAATCCCAGAGCTACAAGAAATCACTCTAGTTATCTTGGTAAATCACTGGTGGTATGAGCAGAGTAACCTAAAAAGTTTAATGGCAAATTCTGCTATATATCAACTTTTCATATGTTTTGTGAGCAGCTTGGTTCTAAAATACAGAGGCTTGGTGTTATAAACATCAAAGGATTACCTCACATAATTACATTTAATTCAAACATATGTGTTTTTATTATTAGCTCTCTCAAAAACTTTAAATACTATAGAATAACAGTAAATTCATCACATGTGCTTGCATAGTATTGCTTTTAACTGGGAACAGGTATTGCTAAGAATATTCTAGTCTTTAGAAAAGTAATGTGATGATGAGTTAACAGTCTGAAGAATGCTTTAATGAAGGTCACAAAGTAAATTCTCTTTAATTTTTAATATGAACATGCTCTATTTTCTTACAAAGGGCATTCAAGATTTTTTTTGAAAATGGGGTTAATTTTTGTATTACATTCATTCCAATATTAATGTCTAAAAATGTTAATATTCTTATTCATCTTTTTAAGAAGTACACATAAGTAAATAAACACATAGATGATCTTTGATAAACTCCATTTAGGACTAAGATTAAAAATTGCATAATATAAATATGTCCAGAATTTTGAAAGACTAGATTTCCAGCTCATAACAAATCTTTTAAACTAAACATAATCCACAAGACAGTCTTATGTTTTCATTTAGTTTCCTGTCTGTTTCAAGCATTTAAATGTAAGCATATTGTAGGTTTTTTGAGTACAATCATTCTAATGGTGATATAGAATGAAGATATGACTATTACTTCTGCAGGAATTTTTATAGAATCTAGTATTTTGACAAACTTCTCTTCTTTTATCTGGGGACCCCTCCTCCCCAACTGGTCAGCCTGTTTTGCTCCCCAAGCCTTTCCCCTTAACCTGCACTGAAGGTATAATTCCATATGAAGTCTAAAGTACAGATTTATTCTAGGAAGTTGTTGTACAATGAACATTTTGAAGATCAATTTTTATCTTTTACTGTATCCGTTTTATTATCCCTGTGACTCCTGAAAAAAATGTGTTCTGTTAACAAGTAAAAAGTGTTTGGGAGCATGCAAGGTCACTTGGATTTATGCTTTTGTTTGTCTCCTAATTGCCAGTCCCACAACTGTGCTCTGTTAAAGCATCTATTGACTTCAGTGGTGCCAATATTTCAAGGCCAGGGTTTTTTAGAAGTGCAACTCAGTACAGGTCAAGGTAGTAACATTCAGCATTCAGAGCTTAGTTAACTATTCTGTTGATAGTCTGGCAGGAAAGAGTAATTTCCTTTCTTATGTGGCTATATGGTCTCTGCAGGGCTAGCAGGAGTACAGTACATCTGTGTGTGTCTCTGAATACAGAGGCTGAGCAAATCCCCACAGCAAGAATGTACTGTTTTATATTGAGCAGTCACCTTTTTAGATCAAGAAAGAAGCAGAGAAGGAAATACTTTTCTGTGTAAAAGGATGCAGATATTGCTAGTGTTTGATTATGAATCCTGAAGCCTGTGATCATTTGGTCACCTATGGTTTGAAGCAGCATTGGAAAAATAAATACCTTTGATTTAGAAGTCAGTCTAAAATTTGGATTAAAAATGTCCATCTGTTGAAGGGTTGTCTTACTAAGGCAAACACAAAAATGTCTGGTGTCTGGGAAAAAACATTCAATATGAAATGCTTTATTAGAACATCAGATACTTCTGATAAAAGCCAAGGAAAAGGAGGGCTAGATGCATAGTCTTTCTAACTAAAATGCTTTGCAGCTGTAACATTCAGCTATGTTGTAAGAGGCCTCAGTTCAATTCTTTCACCTTCTTGCAGAAATTTGATTGTCTGAGTAGTCATAGTGGGGGTCCTCAATATCTACTTTTAAGGCTGTTCTACCTAATAAGGCAAACCAAGCAGCTGTAGCAGGATTTGTTTCAGCATTCTAATTACCAGGAAACGTGGTCAATCATTCAGGTTCAGCTTATATTTAAATATTTTGTAAAAAGTAATACAGCACTAAGATTAGATGTAATAAGAACACACCACTGTTGTGAAGCCAGAGACCTATGTTTAATGTGTACATTTAGAGGAGAGCTGGACTTGGATGTATGTAGGATATAGGCAATTGGTCATGATACTTAAGTGGGTACCTGGTTTTCAGTTCTTATTCAAATAAGTGTTTTAAAAGTTTATCGAATGGAATTACAGAAGAGACTTTAGGAGTTTGTCTCCTTTGCTGAAATTCTCTGTATACCTCCATGATAAAGGATATTCCTCTGAGTAGCAGCAATGTGGGTTCAAATCATTGCAGGTAACAAAGGCCTTCTCTCTTACTTTTTGTAAGTTGTTAGTAGCTGCTTTGCAGGAATCCACTCTGTTGTCTCCTTTACTTTGTCTTCATTGAGGACAGAGGAAAAGCAATGGATTCTGAACCCTGCCGTAAGAAAGTCCTTCTTCCCCATTCATCAGTTCTGCTGTTCATTGTAGCACTTCTCTTTGTGCTGCAATATATGACTTTATGTAATCACAACAAAAGAAATTTCAATGATGCATAGAAAAATTAGTATTTCAAAGGTGAATGACAGATTTCCAGAAAGAATTGTATAACATCCCTTTCATTTCCTGATCAGAAAGCAAGCTGAGGGGACACAGTAGATTAAAGAGAGGAAGAGAGAGCACAAAATTGCTGGGAAATACTGTCAATAAGTAAGAGCTAGTATCAGTATAGATTAATTTAAAAAACCAACATAATTGTGCCAGTTTATATTAGCTGAAAAACTGTCCATTAGTTTTGGAAAAGAAAAGAAATAATAATAAATGACAACAATGTAATCATGCAAGCAAAACAGAATTAATATGTATTTTAAAAATCTCCAGTATAACACTTCAACAATGTAGATGCAGAGGATTAGTTATTTATTTTTGTTTTACCTATGGATAGACAGAAATTTCATAGAGAGGAAAGGCTCCAAAAAATAAATTTTAACTAGTCCTCAGAGAACTAAAATTGGTGGGCGCACTTTTTATTTCATTTTCAACTAGGTCATTTTGTTCTTCTTAAAAGTATTTTGCTGTAGAAATTTGGTGAGTCTGATTAAAATTTAATAATGGTTTTATTGAAAGTATTTCATTTATAGCTATGCTTACTTTAGTATTTGAGTAACACTTTTATGAATCCAAATGTACTCCTGTATAGTTCCTGCTCTTCTGTGGAAGGGGAATATCTTTGTTTGTGAAGTTGTTTTCTTGAACAATCAATTGCTGTCAGTCAAAACTAACAATAAAAATTCACAGTTGTTTTGATTTATCATCAGATTTCAGGGAAATCCACAGAGATCATGGCTTACTTTTATTTTCCGGAACAATAAACCAAAATGCTGAACTTCATGGCTACCAACATCCCTCATGGTATACAGCCTTAGCGTTCGTTTCTCCTACTACACGTATATAGTTCCCAGTTAGCATTAATTGAAATTATATGTATGCATCAGAGGACACTGGATCCTTTAATATGGTTTTAGATATAAGTATTTTGGAAAAAGAAAAGGCTATCTGTCTTTGAAATTGAGAAAGCTGTAATACTTTTCATAAGATGAAAATTTTGCAAATCCTCTTTTCACATTTCACATTGTATTGCATTTGGCTTTTGGGGGTTTTCTTTGCTTTCTTTTAATTCGGGAACCAGGCTTAGTGTTTAGCCCTAAAACATTTAATACACTTCAAGAAAATTATTTAAGTAAATGAGCTTTGTTTTAAATGTTTTGAGGGTGACTGGAAAATTACATGAACAGGAAGTGCAATGAAAGTTGCTGTGTACTCATTGTTCCCTGATTAACAAGAACAATAAATTATTAGAACTAAAACCACTAAAACCCTTCCTATGCAAATGCCCAGTAGATCAGAGTGTTAGTCCTGGAACAGTGAAGGGATGGCCTTACATTTAATATAAATTCTTCTCTAGTGAGAAGACCTTTAGGAATTACAGTGAAGACAATTAACTTTCCAACTATAGATATAGCAGGAAAATGCCAATTCGCAATAAGAAGCTGCTGATCTCATCATGTCCAAATAACTTACTTTAAATCTTGCATCAGCAGGCTACAGCAGGGATAGAAGAGACAAAGTGGACCTAATGGTGTTTTGTCTAGCCTTATCTTTTGCTTACATTCAAATTGGAGTAGTAGGTAAAACTGCTCTAAAGTAACCATTCCAGAATCCTGCAGACCCCTGATGTCATTATATGAAAAAAGTCTTTATAATGATATTAGGAAATCACCTTAGTATTTTAGAATAAATGAATGAGAGTTTCTACTTAAAAAGATATTTTCACCAGTGTAAATGTTATACATATGCCTGGTTTTAGATTAGTATACTAGGGAAAACAGCTTTATTTCAGTAAAATATGTTTAGTTTGCTATCATGTGACCACATATCTTATATTCCACACTATATATTGCTGTTTTGAAGTAACTTTATAGAACTTCATAAAGACTTTATAAAAGCTTCA